AACTACTGGTAAGCTTGGTAAGTGACCAACTTAGCTCACCAACGGACTTGGAAGAATAAAAATTCAAAAAAAGTTCTAACTTGAGATCTAGCACTAGATCTAAGGGGAAATACGGAACATATCCGATGATAGGGCTTTTTTGCTCATCGGATAGTATAGGGGAAAATGATAGGGACACAGGTGAACCTGACACATGTTGCACTACCTAGCTTTGTGCTGTGTAATGTAACTAGGGCTGTGGCCCAGCCCTGAGTGTGTCAGGGCCGCCCTGGTGCATTGCCTGGCCTTGGGCAGACCCAAGGGGATCCAGAAAACACTCAGGGCCATTAATTGTAAGAGCTAAAAGGGGCCATAGGGGGGATTTCTGGTGTTTATTGCACATCTAGGTGTATGAAATTGTATATAAAACTTATATCAGCCTACTCAGGGCTTGGACAGAGCCATGGGACCCAACTCAGATGGCAATCTTTTAAATTGTTCAACAAAACAATGATAGGCACCCGGGCACCCTCATTGTATCTAACAATTTGACTGCTGAATTGATGTCTACTTAAATTTTTTTCTTCCTTGAATTTTCTTCTAAACACCTGTTGATGTTTGTTGAATCTTCTGCAGAAGATCAGGGAATAAGTTGGTGTTTCCTTCACTTTACACACTTCACACTTCTGGTTGTCCACTCCTATGTGATGTAGGAATGGTTGCAGTGGGCTATGAGGGGCTATGGCCGCATCACAACTGGAATATCTTGTCCTTTTTACAATGTGCTCAAAGTGTCAGCTATATATCTTCCTCGTGTTTTGTACTTTTTAATTGGAACCACCCCCCTTTTGAACATCTCCTTTGTGTGTTGGAGTAGTCCCCCCAAAGTATACTGAGTGTTTGGTACTTTCTACTTTACTTTACACTGTGAGGTGTAAAGTCCAGCCCCCCAATGCTACAGACTTGTAACATATCTGGTGTGATTGACTTGGCTTTACCCTTTCAGCTTCACTCCCATAACCAATTTTGCTTGTCAATTTCATTTGCTAGAAAGGTTTAGCACTTGCTCAGAATTTCAGACCCAAATTTGCTGCGCAGTGCAGCAGTAGCAAGCTGTGAAACCTCACTTCCACCACCAAATGTTTGATTCCCCAGGGCCACCATATCCTCTTTCCAATCTTACATCTCAACCTATCCACTACAAACATTAATCAACTTCCCCAAGTGGGCAGGAAAAAATGATTGGGAGTATCATTTGTCATAAAATGATCTATCACTCCACACCTGATCCATAACACCCACACTACATATGTGTAGCAGGCTCAGTGAATTGGTGTTTATCATGTACATACAGTTCTGCTCAGTTATCTGCTCAGCAGGATGAGTTATTCATATGTAATACATGCTGTAACTTTTTTCAGATTGACAAAAGCATTCAAAAGATAGACTACATACACTGACTCAATGTTTTGGTGTAATCTCATCAACTCAACTGCATGTAATACCCTTTCTGTTACTAAGAGATAGCTTCAAAAATATTGCCTGAGCAGCTACAGAATTATATGTAGTGAATTCTTGGGACAATTTTTTCCAAGTCAAAAAAGTTACATGTGGTATAACATGTGATTTATATATTCTGATGGGCAAAAAACTGAGCAGACCTGTATGTACATGGTAGAAAACTATTTACTTAGCGTACTGCACATATGTAGTGTGGGTGTTGAGGCTCAGGTGAGCGGTATTGGATCTTTTTATGACAAACTGTACTATTAATCATTTTCCTCTTCCAATGTGGGGAAGTTGAATGATGTTCACAGTGTATCTCAACCTATTTCAATATTTCAATGAATTTTCTCATCACCCAGCCAGCACCAAAAATACTCACAATATGTCAGACACTTCCAATTTCTATCAGGTGCTAAGTTTTTAACAGTTCCGCCAAACTTGAAAACAATCAATTGCTAATAGGAGTCAACTAGAGGTATCAAGAGTCTATGAGATGAAAAGGTGTTCAACCACCATAATGAGATTGCAACGTAGAGATTGTAAAATCTCCTATCAGTGAAGTTTGTACACTGAAGGTGACACAGTACAAGCATATCTATGTAATAGCATGAGCACAAGTATGCTCATAACAGAACGTTATTCCAAAAGTGTTTTCAACTGTTGGTTTGTCATTGTATTCTAGCCCTTGTTTGATGGGATATATTCACTCAAACAAAGTTTCAGACACTAAACTGATGGATCAGGATGTTAAAGCAGTGTATAATAAGATTAATCCAACACATATTTGTTTTGAACTGAATGTCCAACAAGTAGAACACAATACTTCTCAATTGAAAACCTGAGAGGATCTGATGAGACTCAAGACACCTTATATAAAGCCAGAAAGCAGTCTAAATCTTGGCTCTGAACACCAAAGACTACAAAAGATAACACACCTAATAAGGTGGATGGGTAAAGTATGATACACAACAATGTGCGCAGTGAACTGATTATTTTATTTCAACCAAATATAAACAATGGACCTTATAATGCCAGAAATCAGGCTAAGTCTTGGCTCAGAATGCCTGTCAGCCAAAGGTTATAAATTCAGTTGAGTTTAGAAAGTTTAGGATGGATGATACTGATGGAATATATCTTTCTAGTGTTTCAAAGCTATAAGGCAACACTGGAATAGTTATTTTCCAATGGTTTGCCATTATCTTCCTTAGTTTAGGATGAAATGCCACAGCCAAGATTTTGTGTAACCAGAGTGATATCTTGTCAAGACCAAGAGCCGCGTAAAGACTAAACTACTTGACTCTCTAGATAGTAGCCACCCTGACCTGTCTTGCTTGCTTGTCCGCACTAAACAAAGCAAAGGTCAGTCAATATTGTTGGAAAGGAAAGGAAGTCAAAACTTACACATCCTTTTCCACTTGAGTTTGACATTTTGAACCTTGGCTTGGCATCTTAGGGATGGATACAAGAGATCAAAATGGATTGAAATATAGAAATTGATTGACATCTGGAAACAATTCAAAGATATGGAATGGGTTGCGGGTATGAAATTAAATGAAGGTATGGAATGGGTGGTAGACAAGTGTACTACCAAGAAGCTGTTCAATGGCACTTCATATAAGGCTACTTATACTTGTATCTGGAGCTGTAATTGCCCCCAAAAAGATCCCAAATTCCCTTTTGACAAGAAAAACAGGTTTGACTGTAAATACTTGGGCCTGGTATGAGTTTAGTGTTCAAATGAACAGTGTTGATAGCAACGGAGCAATTGAGGGACACTGGAGAATATAAGTGACATTGTACACACACCTGTGATGCAAATTTAATCTTGTTTGACTTCTCAACACTCAGTTGGATATGATACATTCATTTCCCTGCATATTTAGTACAATTGAAATGCAATTGGTTTTGAGATGAGACAAGATGATCCATCTTGTTGGAGAAAACCAAAAGTTGGCTTAGCACTGTCATGGGTTGATTTGATTAGTGACTGAGACAAAAAAATTAGGTGAAAGTGATGATACTCGTGGCTCTGGTAAGATTTATGAACTTGGGTCATTAAGCCTCTTTCACAAATGTGAACAGCTAAGAATTTCATTCCAAGACATCAAGTCCAGCAAAGTGCCTTTATCTATCTAAGCAGACCTTATACAATTGAGCTCTATGAAAAAACATGAGATTGCCAAACTCCCTTTAGTCAAAAAAGTGAGGGAGGGAAATATGAGCAATTTACAAGAGTTCTGGAAAGAATTCATCAATCCTTTCATTCACCAGTTTTTCAGCTAGAAAATAAAGCCTTTAATCCCATCAAATACTTTTCTTGGACAGTTTCCCAATATTTTTCAATGAAATGGTTTGCTATTTTATATGGTATACACCAACCCAAATAAAGAAGCCCTTCTGCTAATGTCAAATCACCTGGAGCCAATGAACTCCAATTAGAATGAAAATAACCAGTTTCATACAAAAGGGTCTTCAAATCAGAATCAAATGCCCTAACTCTACCACAAGCTCCAGACAAATCCCAAGCTTCTTTCTCAATCCTAACAAATTTTCCATCACCAAGATAAACATAATCAAATCCAGGTTTCAAACTCTTGACTTTCTTTTCAATATGTTTTAATTGATCTGCAGTATAGACATTCTTGCCTTTATACATCAGCTGACCATTTGGACAACGTTCAATCTCATTCAAATCCCTCTCTATTTGGTCTAATCTTGATTTTACTTCCAATTCAATGCCTGTTAGTTTCTTGTCATATAAGACTTCATTTTTTGATTTTTCTTTTCTTTCTGAATCATAGTCCATATACATCTGCTGAGGAGGTGACAAATTTTGGGTTCCGTTTTCATCTGGCGGTACATAATCAGCTAACAGTTGATCATGAAAGTCTTGTATCTCCTTATATAGATCCAAGTGTTGCTGGGTGAGTGGATCCCATACAATGTGTGATTCATTTGTTTGAAAAAAATGTGAACCAGAAGCTGTGTTAGTTGACACATGAGCTGGGACAATGGAACTTGAGACATCTTTTGAAGTGACCAGGATGATGATCGCAAGAATATTTTGGTAATTCATCTTGAGTGATGAAAACTAAAGGATTACTGCATCGATGATAGAGGTGAATATAAATGTCAGTGGGTATAGTGAAACTGTTCCTTTGCATAGAGATACGCATTGTCATTTTAGTTATCAGAAAACTAACCTTGATACACTATTATCAGACTGTATTGTTATATTATCAAAATAATTCGATCTTTTTGCAGATGTTGACTGCAGCTTATAAAGGTCTCCTGATATCAAGCCCGCAGTTATCACAGGAAGCCAGACTCTTGAATTTATTTCAGCAGCAAGAGGGTGATTAAGTTCAAGCAAAGGTACCTAGAATGACTTCTAGAAGAGATGATTGTAAAAACACTCCAACGCGGAGCAATACAAACTGGATAGGACTCCCTGGCAGAACTTCAAGTGATGGAGGATATATAACTCTCAACCGAGTCCCACACCAATTCGCTCGAATTTCGTCGCAAGATTCCGCAAGCTCTTGAATTCTATACCTACTGCAGTGCTGACTACGCGTGGTTTGGCGGTATGTATCAGGCTTCCGAATCTCTCCTTCCCCCTTGTGAGTACATACAAAAGCCCAGCCCGATTCAAAATCGCAGTCAAACTACACAAGCTCGGTAAGGACATCAAACTTCTAAACTTCCTTGGAAGCTCGGTTCGAGATCTTATAAGAATAGAGTCCCCGATGGCACTGTGATGGATCAGCTGTAAGACTCACTCAAGGCTTGGACATATTCTGGGCATCATGAAGCTCAAACAACCCCTAGAGTTGAAACTCAGTCCCTCCTGAGGCTGTACAACAAAGATCCTTGAGACCTCCTAAGATTTGTAGGGCAACGCTAAAGCCAATCAAGGCCAATCGCCGCATATGATTGAAAGACCTCATCATCGGGTAAATACAGATATATGAAGGATGCGATGACCCATCGCGTGTTATATGAGGTACCCGAGACATATTCAATGATCTTATCTGGACGGCATCTTTTGAGTGTTCAACACTAAACCTTTGATATTTGACCACAAGATTTGTTACACTCACAGTCCCTAGAATCGCATAAGGAATGATCTGATCCAAGCTCAATAAAGCCTCTCACGAGCGCGTTCGCCGCGCCCTCGAAGAGGCAGGATAGACGCGATTTTTTTGGCGGAGGTGCTCCAAGAATTAAGTCCGCATATGTACTTTTTTCAAATTTCCCTCTACATATCTTGGTCTACATTTCATGCGAAACAGACTGCTTTGGACAATTTGATAGCTATGTAAAAACAGACAGGGTCTTACGTCCTGTTGTGATTAAGCCTTCTTGAATATATGCCTCCAATCAAATTTGGAAGTCCATAAAATCCTGATGTTACATCTTGTTAGATCACAAAATTAGAGTACTCCCTTGCAATGTGAACCAACATATGGGGCACCAAATTATGTAGCAGGATGTGGAGAATAGCATATGTAAGTTCTGGAACTACCTGTGGAGAGAGGAAGTGGAAAAGTCAAAAAAAGTACATAAGGAGACTTAATTCTTGGAGCTCCCCGCCACAAAACTTGAGTCTGTCCAGAGCCCCTCTTCAGGGGCGCGGAAAACTTGTGAGGGGCTTTGTCAAGCACCATGTCCGTGTAGGGTTTGCTCATTGACGAGCGCACACTGGTTCCTTTGAGGCAGACAGGGAAGTCGTGTGTGCTTGTCAAAGAGCAAACACTACCCGGACACGGTGAAGCTTATTGATCCACTACTTCTCAGGGGATGAGTCTGGTGAGAGTGTGGAAAGACTCGGATTACAAACTATCAATTCTCAGATGATAGCACGTACCAAGGAAGGGTCTACCCTCCTGTAGAACTCTTTGTAACCACTACTAATAAACATATACAAGAATATAATCTACTACTGGTGGTGTGGGGGTATGCCCCGAAGGGGCAGGCTACCGGTGACAGACGTCTATCACCGGGATATGCCTGACCCTCCGGGGTGATAACAAAGAGCCCCAAAGGAGGGCTTCTCTTTCCCCTTCCTCACGGGGGTTATAGCCGTGAGCCTAGAGAAGCCCCCACTCCTGTAGCCACCGTGAGCAAACTATGTATGCTTGGAAATTTAAAGTTTCATTTGGTGATCTACTCAATACACCCACATGTGCTCAGACTCAACTATAGTTCAAAGGCCGATCTTCCGCCTTTTACTGGTCAGCCCGTCTCCCAGTTGATACTCGACTGAGATCACTGTAGCCTTAACGTCACGCTCAACTTTCTCACAAAGTAATAGCAAGGCTTCATTTCATTTCCACTGTAGGTCTTGTAACAATCTTTTTGTTTTCTCCAATTCTTTATCTGAGAACTTCCGCAGGTAGATGATATATGCATCAGAAGCCCATCGACCGCACTTTTTCACCTCCTCTCGGTCTGCTCCTAAGTTCCAGCGCAGCGATGCTCCGCCTATTCGGAATGAATGCCCATGTAGCATTTGCTTCGACTTCGAACGCCTTGAGTTCCAGATAGACTCCTGTTTCCCTAGCCGTCTCCGCTTGCCTCCAGCTAATACCGAGAAGATCTCTTCGCTTGGTTTTCTCGGACGGAAGGCCAGCCACTCCTCTAGAATCGAAACTGGATCTAGTAGTGAATCTTGACGATGAAGAACTATGTATTGTACTTCCCCGGGGCCTGCCGTTTTTGCGTTGTAGATGCGTATCGTCACTCTCGACCGATCTTCATTCCACTCAACGTCATCCCAGCATGGGAGTTTCTTCTTCACGTCGTCTGAAATCAGTTCACCCAACCTCGCTGTCCCCCAGAATGCCACTAGTGCCACTACTAATCTAGCTAACCCTAGTTCCCCTTGGTCCGGCAGAATCTCGAACAGCACTACCGGGTCCAAGATTAACACTGGAGGCCTTTTCTTCTCTATCAATTGAAACTGCTTCTATCATCCTCGATGCTTTCAGTAAAGCCTTCACTCCTTCATTCACACAATGCGGATAATCTTCGTTGTGAAAGAGATGCCATGCTTTTATGCCGGCTATATAGGCTTTCATTGTTGAGTATTTCACTGACTCATCATCCTTCGCTTTCCTTTCACTCTTTTTCGATCCCCAGACTACGAATTCTCTTATGAGTCTTGACGATATCGGTAAAAGCTGACTTCTCTCGACCCCTTTTAGTAGAGCGAATCTGTGGAGCTTCACCACTCCCAAGTTATAACTCTTCAATGTCCCGTCACCCCACGCCCCTCTCAAATAGTGCTGCTGTACCTCATCCGAGTCCGATGTATCCACACCTAGGGCGTTCTTTTTGAAGGTTCCGAAAGGTCTCGTTGCTTTTTTCAACGATTGTACATCTGGCATCCTCCACCGAGCCTCTCTTCTCTCGCCTGAAATATCTCCCCAATCAAACCGTCAGTCCCAGGTCTAGTGTCAAGTAGCGAATCTATTAACCTTGACCTGTCAGCGCTAATTCGGTTGCTTCTCCTCTGGGAAGCCGACTTTAGGAGGGAAAACCTGCTTGAGTACAAAGTGCAGGTTGATTGGCACTTCTACCTTCACTTCGTTGAACCAGAGCAACTTCCCCAGCCAGCCCCTTGAGAGCGCGTCCGCGTCATTGCCTTTTGACGTAACATGTTTTGCCTCAATATCGCAAGCTAAACCCGTGAGTAAACGTTGGATGTTCTTCCACTCCTCATTCACCCACTCATCCCTCGATTTGCGCTTCTTAACGGCTGCTTGGGATGTAGTATTATCCGTCCAAACATTGAACTTTTTCCCTATAGGACCAAAAACCTTATCAGTCTTACGCCTTCGTGCCTGTTACTTTCTTGGGAGTACTCACCTGCCACATGTCTCAGGGTGCTTAGAACAACTAGTCCCAGTCTTATCGCGACCGATTCAGCCCATGCAATCGAACGCTTGCCTGTCTGCAGGTTCAGCGTCTGCCATCCTTTCTCAAACTCGAAACATGCCCATTGATCGCCTATCAGAATGCCGATACCGAACGACGACAAAGCATCCCCCACCCAAGCGATCTCCGTCGCTTTCGGCGAAGGAATCAGCGCTCGTGAAACAAATGAATGCAGGCACCTTCTCCACTCTTTGAGATCTACTCTAACGTACTCTGGCACATGCCTCAGTGCCGCTTTGTTAACCCATTCCTTTAACCACTTGTAGAACGAGCGCATGTAAGCCTTCATATGAGGGACAATATACACCGTATGAACCAGCTTTCCTAGTAGACTCTCTATTGTGTGAAATGCCCAGGGGGATGTCAAGTTAAGGAAGTCTTCTATTAGCTGCTTCCTCTCTCTCAACTTGTCTTCTGGAAGCCTGACAGTGTGATCTTTCGCGTTCCAGATAAACCCCACATAACGTTGTCCCGTCGCGAATTCATGGTTTTTCGCCGGATTCGTTTCTACGCCCAAGCTATTGCTTAATGTCGTTATGTCTGCTAAGGATGCTGGATCTCCTGGTCTTCGAAAGATTAATTTGTCATTGACCCAACGAAAGATCTTCCGTATGTTCAAGATTTGTTCAATTAAGAGCTTCCAGACATGTGCCGGGGCCCCAAACACTCCGCAGCTTGCAACCCCACCAAATCCCACAGCTAAGTCGACCCACACTCTTCCATAGAAGTCTAGAATGCATAAAAACCTCCTCTGACTAGGGTGTACTGGTAGTTGACGGTACGCTTTCCTCCAGTCGAAGATGGCGATTTCCCATTCCCCAGGATTTTCTTGGAAGAAAATTGCCACTTTATCGAAGTCGTCCCAATACGTTCCATAATTCAACTTATTCACGAATGAATTTACCGAGGGTACGTGGTCATCTTTCTTCGGGAAGGAAAGGTCGTTCACCATCCTAATAGATCCGTCTCCATTAACAGCACTCCCCATTGGATTTGTCCTGAAGAAACCGAGCTTCTCAAACACCTCCTCGTGGGTAAACGGGCCAGCCATTCTACCAGCCAACCGTTCTTTTTCAATTGTTGCTTCTATCTGGCTCCTCGCCAATAGTGCTGACCTATGATTTTCCGGAGTATACCAGGACAGATTCCCTATGCGATGTTGTGGTATCCCTAGGCAAAACCCTTGCTTAAACCCGTTCGTGATATACGGGATGTCTTTCTCCAACCCCGCTTCCAACATCAGCTCAGCCCATTCCTCGATGACCATCTTACACGTGACTCGGCCTGGACATACATTCTGCACCGGCACCGCAAAAATCTTCCTCTCCCAGAATGGAATTGGATCTTTTTTGCTACTTGTCACCTGTTCATCGTCGTGGCTGTCCGACTCAGAGCTATCCGACACCTCTCTCACCAGCTCCTCTAAGCGTTGCTCCACTGCTCTCAGAGTATCCTCTCTTGAGTGAAAGAGGACACCACTCTCCGCGGGTCTGTTGGCAGGTGTGCTACTCTCGTCTAATAAATAGTAACATATGGAAACCAATTTTTGTTCAGAATTTCATATTCTTTCTACTTAGATACTGCGAGTTACAAGCTTCTGTGTACCACAACACATACAATCATCCAAGTACAAAGCGCAACACACAACAATTCACCCAAGCAGTCCAAAGCATTGAAAGGCATAAAACAGAAGGAAAGCGATGACAGGTCCCGGTCGGGTGAACAACAACAACACACGTTTCGTCAGTCCCACTTTTAGTACTTTAAGCACTTTAGGAATTTCACTCACGCATTCTGTGCCTCTGTCGGTTGCGCTTTCTGTGCGCTAGGCGCTTGGTTTTGTTTCGCACCCTTATGCTGGTAGTACGGTTTCGCCATATAGGTCTGTGGAGTTTGGGTCGACGGCTGTCCCGAGTCTCCTGTATCGACAATCAAGTCAGCACTCAACGATCCTCCTTACAACCACTCCTAAGCGATTCTGAAGCACTAACCAGTTTGGCTCTCCTGGGCGGACTTGTTGCCCCTGTTGTAATGGAAGTTACCTTGATAGGTATTTCTCTTCTGATAGGACTTCTTGACCCCACCGCCACGTTTCCCTCGATTAGGGTTTGTGTTAACTTCAGCTGTTCTATCCACAGCTGTCACGGCGGAAACTCCAACTGGTTGTCTCCCGGTCGAAAAATCAAAGCCAAATTTCGGACCCCCAGGAGCATAGGGGTTGTCTACGTATTGGAGATCGCCTGCTCTATCTGCTGCGAATCTCGCCTTCCCAACCACCCTAGCTTGGACTCCGTTCGGGATCTTCACTATATCTTTCAAGACCGTCTTCCCCTTTACTTTGGACTTCACTAACTTCCGTCGCCTGAAAATCACCGTCCGCACCTTCAAATGGTACCTCAAGCCGATCATCCAACAATTGTACGACTTCTTCAGGTCTGAAACGATTTTCTTATGTTTCACAATGTAATCCGCATAAGTATCCAAGCCATAAATCTCCCTTGCGTACCTCTCCTCAAGGTCGCACATCTCAATGAAATCTCCATAGGTCAATTGTTTCTCTAGTAATTTCAGAGAAGTCTTGGAGACATTCAGCTTGCTTTTTGCTTTCTGATCTTTTTGCTCTAGATCCTCATCGTGGTAAGATTCTAACAGAGCTATGTTGAATAGAGTTACCGGTACACAAGCTCGTAGTTTCCGAAAGCCTTTATCCCACTTATCGGGTAAGTCTGGTAAGTCTGCCGAGTCAAATTCCGTGATATCGTAGCCAAGTTCAGCTTTTTCAACTTCTGAGGAATTGTCTGAACTTTCCTCGTCTGACGAAGAGTTACTTGAGGATGAGTCTGAAGAATCAGAAGGTTCTGAGTCTACCTGTTTCTTCTTCTTTGATGAAGCTTTCCTCTTCCTCTTTTTCTTCTTCGGCTTTGAGTCATCCGATTCATCTGAAGAAGACGGTTCCTCTTTCTTCTTCTTCCTCGACTTCTGTCCTTTGGACTCGTCAGAAGACGAAGAAGGTGCCTCGACTCGCTCAGCTCGCTTCTTCCCCTTCCGCTTCTTCGCTCTCTTCTTCATCTGGATTTCGATTTCTGGAATCGTCTTTGCCACAACAGGAGGGTGTACACCCGTCCCGGCACCATTTGATTGAGGTTCTTGGCCGCTGAAAGGTAACGGCCCGGAGATCAACGCTAGCAATTGACTAGAGTCCATCAATCTCGAACTCGCGGACTTCTGTTGTGTCTGGGCCTGAGGTACGCTCTTTTGACTTTCTTGGGCCTGAAGACTCGGCTGATCATGGACTGATCCTTTAGGTTCCGGAGGTACATAACCATCGTAATCCATCGCCACCAGCGATCCATACGAATCATTGAAATCCGCGACCAGCTTCCTGGCTTCAACTCCATTGTTGGTATCCAACGCGTGCGTCAAGGCCTCTAAGAGCGCTTGGCTACGAGAATCGGCACCTTTTGACTCTCGAAACGCTAATGGACAGTCGGAAACCGAAACAAACAGGAGGAACAATTGTGTAAGCACCTGATTTTCTCTCCTCAAATTGGTCACTCCGTGAGAGTCTAGCGCCTACGGCAGCTTCTTTAACCTCAGACAAGACTTTAACTTGGTGTATTTGTAGGTCTACAGGACTCTACCACCTCCAGGAGGTTTTATGGGCGCACTTGGCAGCACCAATCAAGAACTCTCCCTTCTGACCAGCGAGTCTTACGGCGCTCTTGCAGCCTGCATCCTGTCACTTCATCTTTTTAAAGGGCGCCTACGGCAGCTCCTGATCCTCTAGATCTCCCACGGAGCGAGGAATTACGCAGAAAAAGGAAAGAGACAATCAAAGAAACTCTGTTACACACCATCAATAGGTACACCTTCATAAACTTTGCTCTTCTTCAATTCCTCCTGATGACGTTTCTCTGCTTCTTGTCTCACCTCCAACTTCTCCAATTCTCTCCTCTTCAGTTCTAGCGGTTTCACATCTCTAGTATCCAACTCTGAATCCGAGCTCGATTCCAGGCTATCTTCTTCTTCTTCCTCGACGAAGGACTCCTGAATCACACCGGCCTTGGGTCCAGCTCCGTGTATCACCTGATGGCTCTCCAAAAGATCTTCTTCTCTAGCTATTTGACCCGCTTCTTGTATCAGATTCATGTCGACATTTCCTTCACCTTCTTTCGGAGCCCTCGATTCGGCTCTTCTCCTCCTCTCTTCTGCCTGAGCTAGCTTTTTCTCTTCCGCTGATCTCGACGTCGATGCCATTTCTTGAAGACGAGCCTTGTTCAATAACAACTTGTCTTTCTGTTCCTTGTTCATTCACAATAAAATTAGAACCGGAATAGTATGTGTCGTATGTGTCAAAAAAGATTTATGAAATGTGATTTAGCTATTTAATTTTCAGGATTGCAAACTTTCTACTTCTTTCTTTCTTTCTTCTATCACGATAAAAGTTAACCCTCAGATACGAGAGTGTTCAGATAAGAATGTTAAAAACTTTTTATTTTCGAACGCTGAAGGCTGTAGAAGAAAGATGAGAAAATAAAGAGAGAAACAAGTTGAGGGAGAGAGAATCAAGGGAGAAATTCTAGGAGAGAGGAAAATTTTCCCCTCTCCTAAGAGCGCCACATTCTGTTGCGGCTCCGAATTTCGGCCCCGAACCACAGGGCCAGATTTCTCCCCTCACTTGTGTGCCTCTCCCCTTCGGTATTGGACTAAGCATTACCGTTGCAGGCTTGGGGTAATTCTTCAAAAAAAACTCAGATGATATACATCTTAAGCCATCTTTGGTTCCACCGTGTCCAAGACAGGACCCCCTGACTTTGTTTGGAAGAACCCACAAAGCATGAGTTGGTTCCTAGGCCCATTGGGACTTAGCAGGGTGGAGAGGCCGAGTAGTATCTTGGGTTGGGTACATATGAAGGACACGTGAGAATCCATCCTTCAAAGCAATAACCCAGACACCAGGTGGCAAAGACCAACCTCAACTCAAAGACCCCAATACCCAATTCATCTGCTCTCCTTCAGCTCCAGAATATTCTTTGAGAATCATTCACACTTTAAACAAACCAAAAAAGCAATACATTCAGATTGAAATCAAGAAATTCAAAAATTCAAAGTCATTGAGGTGGATAACTCATTATGAGCAAGAATCAGAAGAGCTGAAGAAAACATAGACCATATGAATAGACAGATTACAGCAGTCTTAGCTTTGAGAAAAGAGGGCAATGGTGGGGGATCAGGAAACAATGAATTGTTAGCAAATGGTGAAGCGGAAAGTAGAGACAGTGGTAATACAACTGGTGTTAATACCACAACAAGTAGTGGAGCTAGTGGTGAAAGGAGAGGTGATGTGACAGATAGAACTAATGCTGGAGTAGGAAATGCAACAGGCAACATCAGAGGTGTTATTGGCAAGGACAAATACAAAGGAGCCAGACCAAAGTCTAAGGTAGTGAGTGCAGATGGGATTGAATAGAAAGTCTACATTGAAGATGATGATGAGTCATGGCACCCTCTGTCAAAAAGGAAGGGAAGGGGACAAATTGACAAATCTCACCTCCTTTGAAGAAGACAAATTGTCCATTGCGGATGGGTTGGGTTCATGCTAGGTCAGATCAAAGAGGTTTCTATCTCTATTCTTTCCTCTTCCTCTTCCTCTGCTCTCTGCCATCTTGTGTTGCTAGTTCCTCCTCTTCCCCCTCTCTCCCATCTAGATTTTAAAAAACTTCTCCAACAGTTATACCTCAGTATCTCATAGTTCAATCATTTTTTAATTTCCCGCCTGTCAACCTTTAGTCAGACTGGGGTTAAGTTTCAGGGTCTCATTTTCTCTCCTCACAAATTGTTCTTGCTCAAGGGTAGGGGACAGCTCCAGTGGAGACTGTCAGTACCCGCCGCATGTGGCCACCCAGAGCACTCTCCTGTTTTTCATCAAGTCCCTGCAATATTTTTCCTCTCTATAGTACCAGGTCTGATCCCACCATCAGGGGAAAAATTGCAACACAGCCTCAGGGCTTTGTAGTAACCAATGGTCCCTAGCTAAACCCTGTGCCACTGAATATTCCTACCTTGTTGCCCTTTTCTCATTGGACTCAATAATAGTTTTTTACAAGCTTTCTTAGATTGTGGTGTCTCTCAATCATCTATCAGTCCATCATTTGACTGACGCGTGATCTGTGTTCTATTCAGAACAATCCCACACCTGATTCTCTTTAGATTCTGCCTGTGAGCTCTTTGAATTCTACGGTCAACTATGCGTGCTTTGGATTACGTATGCGGTACGTATTAGGCTTCCAAAGATTCCCTTGCTCATTGCAATATCTTGAAACTAAGCTCAAATCAGGACCGCGGTCTCATGGAAGGGTTTTGTAAGGATATCAAGCTTTTGATATTATTTTGAAGGCTCGGCTCAGGATTCACTGGCAAGCAAACCACCGAAGAATTCATTCAAGGGTTGTATTCTAGATATCACGAAGACCGAACATCATCTGGAGTTGAAAGATTCAGTCTCACATATGCATACCAAGACACTTGTTGATTGACAATCTTGTATGCTGTGAAACTCTTCTACTCAGATCAAGTTCGACCGGATAGACTGTTCTGGCACAAGTGATAAAAAGATATCTATTCACATTCCCCGCAATCTTTCTCGGGGTTGGTGGCAAAATTCCGCAAGCTCTTTGAATTCAACGGTTGGCTATGTGCCTCATGTGTGATTCGGATTTCGGAATTATGTATCGGATCAGGCTGCCAAAGATTTCTTTGCTCATCAAGAGTAAAATCAAACCCGGGTTGATTCAAGACCGCAGTGATCTGACAGGGTTTGGTAAAGACATCATGTATACGACGCTTCTGATCTTATAGATAAAATCAATGCTCGCATTGCATCTTCCCACCACAGAATCCCTGACGATACATCCATTGTAGGTCAACCATGACCTTGAGTTAGAAGACATGATCCCACATGGGGCTGTACCAAAATCCTTAGGATCTCCTATAATCTGATGTATGTAAGGGTAATGGTAGGGTTAATCACCGCATAGGATTGAAACATCTCATCATCAAGCAAATACAAGTCGCAGATTTTTAATGATGCGATCATCTAAAACGTGATATGAGGTACACCAGAGGTATTTCTAATTGATCTTGTTTGTACATAGGACATATGTTGTATTTGAAGTGTTCGAATTTCGTTCAAACTCCCTAGATCGCATAATCGATAAACCCATTGGTTGGGAAATTGAGATAGAGATCAATGTGAAAAACAAATTGACAAGTTGTACCAGAGTTTGAAGTGACCTTTGGTCATGTTGTACTTAATTGTCATCAACTCAAACAAAAGTCCAGTGTTGAATTTTGACACCTTTCTTCCGCTGCTGTAGTGAAACCCTTCGGACAGTGCCGGAAGTTTGAAAGTCGTCATCTCACAGAAATTCTTTGGAAAATGAAGATGGATTCGCTACTTCAGATCAGATCTTCTCTATTGGGGCTATCCTCGTTTCTGACCGGTTCGTCACAATTGTTGGCCACTATATATCCAAAGAGATAAATGTATAATGGGAGGAGACAATGATCTAATTAGCGGTTAAGTTGAGAATGTGATGATATGTATGTACAAGAACTGAAAGAGTAGATAATTATGAGTTTGTTAGGACAAGATTCCATGAAGTTTTGAAACGCTTGATATGTATGTGTCATTCGACCAAGCTCTACACTGCCTTTACAGTTCGACCCGATTGATATTTAGGCTGAATTCTAATTTCTCACTTACTTCCACCACATTTCTTGCAATCAATCGAAGGTCTGTCGTGACCCCCAAGCTTGAATAGAATTGTATATGTTTTACATCTTTAGTGTGTCCCGACGATCGTCTGTCGCGGTACATAGTTTGATGGTGAGTATATGATTTGTATGAAAAGTAAGTTGAATGTTCTATTAAGATCTATTAGACCATCTCTCGAACTGAACTATAAACATCATGATTCATCAACTTACCGTTTGTTTTTTTGAGCACCCACCCTTGCCATTGAGCAATCTTGAATGAATCTAAGCATCGATTTGGGTTTGGTCTTCAGTTGATTTTAAAACAAACTGAAAGCCAATCTCATTCAGCTCTTCAGTCAAGATTGAGATTGAGATATTGGGAAAAATAAAAACATTTATCTCCAACTCAACCGTTTATAAATCAATCCTACTTCAATCCTTAAGCTTCTTTCCCTCAATCCTTTTCATTTACAAAATAAACATTCCCAAAATCTCAATCCTTTTAATCCTTCGATTCCATTCTCTTGACGATTACACACTTTATTCCTCACAATCACTCAACCTTCTATCATCATCACTTCAATCGAATCTTCTCAAGATATTCAAACCGAACGATTTCTCAGCCGGGTTCACTCCTGTCAGTCTTTGCTTGGGAACTTGATGAGAATTTAAACTTCATGGCTGACCTCATCCCTTTTTCTCCTTCCAATCACGTTTTTGGTGTGGCTCCTGATTGTGATATCCCGGTGGATGTGTCTCTCAACTCATCGACTATCAAAATTGCTCTTCCCGCCTTGCCTCTGGGATTACTTTTTCTGTGCTTCTACAACTGCTAACTTCGTCATCCAACCTCTGTGAATTGTTGGGTCAATCTCTTTGATCGCATATCACTTATCTATCTAATCATTTGATATCATTCTTAGCTTAGACAACTGATAACTTCCTTCAAGTTAGGATTTCTTTCTCCCCAATCTAACTAGACACAGACTTTATTTTTCATTTTCCTATACCATTCAAATCCACAAATCATTCGATTTCATACACACAGCCACCCTACACTGTACAATCCCCAAAGGTTATTGAAGAGATAGATATCAACAAGAGCCCAGTGTCAAAGTCCTCTGGTCTTCACTGTATTATTTGGTCATCCTCTTTTATTGCTCACAGCCTTTCAAGATTGGTTCAAGAGCTTTCAAGAGGAATATCCGTCAAATCACAAATACAAACTCAAGCCATCCTTCACTTTTCACCGCCTTGGACCCCCACTCTTCAGCGCTATAAATCCCTTCACCCTTGCACATTTCCCCCACCCAATTGGTTTAAATCAATTCTTTCTTCCGTTCATCAAGATGTTTTGCCTCAATCGATATGTTGAAGGATCTCGTTCAACTCAATTTCCTATCGTTCTGCTTCTTGTCCTCTTGGCTCACTCTACAATTGCTCAAGTTGTCAATGTGACCAACACACCTGTCTTGAATTCGACCCAAACACCTACCAATCGAGCTACAAATCTGACCAGTGGAATCCAGGCCACTCCGATCGCCACTAATGTCTCACAAACTAATCAATCTCAACTTGCTTCAAATGTCACTTCGGGACCAACATCAATACCCTCGAACTCAACCAACTCGACCAATTCGGCGAACTCTACCTTCAATGAAAGAGAGGTTCTACCACTCGATACACGGGTCACTGCTCCTTTTGGAATTCTTGGTGCTCTTCTTATCATTTCTGGTACTCCTATGGCATTTTGGGGTGGTCGTAATCGATGGTGAGTTTTCATATTCTATCATCCTGATATCTCAGATTGTGTTCATCGTATGCAAGCCATTGACTCATTTTTATGTTCTCCACATTATTCAGGTCGAGTTATTTCTTGACTGGTGCTTACGTCGCAGCTATAATAGTCATGGTACCCATTCTGAGGTTTGGTGTCATTGAACAAGACCCTCATCCTAACAATCTCGTTCGTCAAAATTCCCAGTTTCAACATACGTCTGAATTCCGGAGTAACACTCAAAACTGATTTGCCTTATGATCTCTTTCCAGGTTCAAGGCATGTTCCTCTTAGCCTGTGTTGTAGCAGCAGTTGGAGCTGGTGGTGTTTCCGTCATATTTTGGAAAGGTACAAGATATCTCGTTGGGTAAGTTTATCATCACTCACTTCACACTTCACACATCTCAAATTCTCAAAGTTCAAATCATCTTGATTCAAACTGACCTAAAATTCACATTCTTTAGTGCTGGTGGAGGTTTTGTCATTGCACTCTTCATTCTTTCACTTCGGGAAAATGTTTTGATCAGACCACCTGGTTTAAGATGGGTGATGATCATCGGGAGTGTTACCATTGGTTTTGTACTTGCTACTATCCCTGCCATCCAACTTTACGTTACTGTTGTTGCTACTGCCGCAATGGGTGCAGCAGCAGTGATGCTCGGGGTAGATTGTTTTACTACTGCTGGTGTGAAAGAATATTGGGTTTATATCGTTGGTTTTGGTCAAATGTTCCCTAAGCTCGATGGTCACTTTCCTCTTACAATCACCATGCAAGGTAAGATGATTTTTTTTAAAAATCGCTCTTACTCAATAACCACTAAGCTCATCCTCTCTTGTGATTATTGTCTTATAGCCGAATTGGGTGTCATGGCAGGACTTTTCGTAATGGGAGCTGCTGTTCAATGGAGATTATTAGAAGTGATTTACAAGAAGATTGGAGTATTGAAACAATTAGATCGAGAAAGGGCAATGGTAGAAGAAGCCGCTGCGTATCGACAATCAATGGCACTCGACGCAGATCTTGCTATTTGGGAAAAACGTTATAATAAGAACTATAGCTCATCAGATGCAGCAGATTCAACTAGTCATGCTAATTCACCTACACTTGATCATCATACTCGAAAGTCTTCTCAGTTTTCACTTTTACCTCGTCTTTCAAAACAAACTTCTCCAAACGAAAAAGCGGGTGATTCTCAACCTAGTACGCCTCAGGCCTTCAATCATTCAGCTAAGGCTCATCTTTTACCTGGTATCGACTCGGGTCGAGGTATTAGAGACTCTTTAGGATATGAAGCTGAACCACTCTCACCTCAAGTTGGCGATCATCTTCTATCACGCACCTTACAAAATTCTCCTGTACACCAAGCTCATCACATCGCTCAACGTGAAACTTTAGCAGTGATCGAAGATAAGATGAGAACATTAGAGGAAGTTAGACAGATGAGAGTTTCGGTAGAAAAACTTCGAGCTGAATTAGCTTCTAGCTCTGGATCTACCGAGGATCAATCACCAAGCCCTGGACCATTCAATACCAACTCTTTACCGATCCCTACGACTACACCTACTCGAGCTCAAATTGGCGAACCAAGTTGGAAAAACTCGACTGGGATTGATCATTCACCAAACCGATATCTTAGAAATCCAGAAAGGCTTTCATCAGATCCTAGACCTCAATCGATGAGTGTAGCCATTGATTTTGATAAATTTTCAAGTGAAAGAAGAGTAGCTCGACCACCAGGTGCACCGACTAGTTGGACTAAACGAATGACCATGGTAGATTTAAGAGAACCTAGTGATCGAGCTGGTAGACCATTACCATTAGAAAATCAAGAAAGACTTCGAAGAATCTCACAAGGTCCTACTAGATTGATTACGGTTGGTGAACCAGCGATTGTAGAGAAAAAGGTTTCACCTCAAAGACAGAGTACAGTGATGACTATTGAAGAACTTGATCATCGTCATAAAGAAGCTATTAGGAAATTACAGGGTCCTACGACTGAAAGTATGACCATCAAACAAACTGTTGAATCACAAACTAAGAGTAAGAGAGATCGAAGTAGTTCACATCATATGGTAAGCATCCTTTTACATCACCCCCAGAAATTTCTTCTCAATCAACAAATAAACTGATGTGAATCTCATCACTTTGATAATAAAAGCAGCAAGGTGGTAGTGGTGAAGGTTTCAATCGATATGCTCCCCGTCCACAACATCAAAGAGCTTCAACTTATACATTTGATGATCGAAGAAACTCAGCTTTCGTTTCACAACCTTCTCCACTTGCAACACCTTCAGCTCAAAAGAAAGATAAAGCCAGTTGGTTAGATTATTAATCATTCTTTTGAATTTCTCCTTTTTTGCTTGAGAGTTTTTTTTTTGATTTCTAGTCTTCTTGTTTTCTTGAATTATTTATATGAACGTGATTCTTGGATAGTTTCTTCGTTTCTACGCTAATGTTGACTTGTACCATCTTTCTTATTATTTTTTCTTTCTTCTCATCTCAACTCTTTTTCCAAGTTGATATTTATTTTTATCTATCCTAGAAACGGAACTCATAATCCTAAACCTATCTATTCCTTCTTTTGATTTTTTTTGATTCACTTTCTTACTTCAAACCATCAAAAGAAAATCTTGTTTTGCTTTCTTTTTTGATACTTACTTCGTTCAATTCCTTTCGCATTTCGCATTGTAATCTTTCGTTCTAAACCTTCGTTTATGTAGCTTACAATTATCACCCATTTAATTTTGATGAGCTACACTTTGTTTTTCTTGGTTTGTTGAATCGTCAAACTTGTAATCAAATGTTAACTTTTACAGATTTTTAGATTTGTGAGATCCGATTTCCAATCCAAATTTATAGAAATCAAAATAAGTTTACATAAAAGACACAAGAAGTTCTTGAGAATGAGTTGGGGTTTGGTAAAACAGTCAAATAGCTACAAGGTTTTTTTCAAATCCAAACAGTTAGGAATCACTTTGAATCTAAAACTTTTTGAGAAAGTAGAGCTTTAGTTACAGCAGCATCAATCATAACAGACATAGATCCAACCAAAGTTCTAGCGATCGATTTAGTTAAACAATCAAATTCAAGATTGACCAAATCTCCTACTGATTTTTTTGATAAAGTCACATGGTCTTGAGTATGTTGAATTAACATGATTTCAAAACTTGATGGATTGTTGGAATTTATTGAAGGATTAGGTACTGAACAAAGTGTTAATGAAATCCCATCTATGGTTATGTAACCTTTTGGAATTAATAATGAACTGATGGGTAAACCTTCGTGTTCAGTTGATGAACTTCCTAAAGTAAATTTCATTCGTAATGAGTCTCCATCTTTTTCTATTGATTCGATTTCTGCTGTTCTATCTACATGTCCCTGATTTACGAGTTTTTTTTTTTGAAAAACAAATTTGTTAGTTGATGGATTTCTTTGGTAATGAGATTGAAGGACTGAAAGAAATGGAGTTTCATACTCAACTTGTACAAAATGACCACCGAATCTTGTATCTGCTCTCATAGCTCTTTCTAAATTAACCTGATCAGATACTTTCAAAAGACCTTTCGAGTTTTAAAAAAACCATATAAAATTAGTTTCCTATTGATCAACTTTCTTTTCTTTACGAATTCGATTTTGGACCTCTTCAAAGAGAAAATAACTTACCTAAATTGGTTCTTCTTAAAGTTTCAGGTGCAAGTCCCACAGTGAATTGATTTGAATCGAATTCCAAAACAGTTAAACAAGTTCCATTGATCGCAATACTATCACCAATTTGACAATCCATCAAAACTTTTGATGCATCTTGAATGATTAAATGGATTGAAGAACCCCATGGATCGTTTGTGGTTTCAGTGACTTGATTTAAAGCTTTAACGGTTCCTATTGACTTTTGAAAAAATTAGAGTCAAGTGCTTGATTAGTTTGGTTTACTGGATCTTTTTTTGACAATCTTAAAGTTGATGGACTTACCTCGATTAAACCTGTGAACATGGTATTTGAACCTTCTGAGAGGGAATAAATTGAAGATTCAAACTGAGGATATCCGAATGAATTTGTTGTAATCTTAATTTTCTTTCTTCGGTCCTCAAGATGAACTCCAATCGGGGCGGGGGCTCAAGCTTTAGCAAACTCAAAAACCTTCAAAAGGTTCAACACCCAGTTTCAACTTTCAATGCTTATCAGCATCAAGCAAAATTCCAAGGGTTTCATGGCATTACGTGATTCTATTGCATCAGACCTCACAGGCAATCTTTCCAGATTTGATTCATTCATCAGCATAAAGTTGAAAATGTCAATGATACAAAATTGAAGATGGTGCTTGACGAATTGTGGATTGACATTTCACGAAAACACGTGATGAGCCATATGTAAATGATAAACCTAACCTCTGTGGAGTAGTAATGTAAATCTGTATTTTGAGTTAGGTCAATGTGGTTTTGGTTGAAACTGATTTTTTTAAAAAAATAAACCATTTCTCGAGATGAAGCAGAAGAACACTGAATAGAAATTAGAAGGAATCAAAAGAAAGGTAAAAAAAAGTATAGAAAGAACACCAAAAACCAAAGTTAGTTCAATCTTTCTAGCATTCATCCATATCAACAATCACTAACATTGATTTTCTTCAAACTTCAAATTACAACCAAAATAAAGACTTCAAACAGATCCATCACAATTTATCTTTAATCAAATTCAATCAAGACTACTAAATCAATGGCAACTAAAGAACAAGGAATAGTAGCCATTGGTCAAACTTCTGGTGATTTTTTAATTCAATCAGCAAGTACTACACCTCAATTAAACACTTCACAATGGCCGTTATTACTTAAAAATTATGATAAGCTTTTAATTCGATCTAGTCATTTTACTCCAATCCCATGTGGTAGTAGTCCTTTAAAACGTCCTTTGAAGGATTATATCAAGTTAGTTTATTTCTCTTTATCTTTGGATGAGTTTTGAAAAATAGCTCTTCAGATTGAACTAACGTTTTGGTTTTCAATTTTCATAAAAATTCTCAGAACTGGTGTGATTAATCTTGATAAACCTTCAAATCCATCATCTCATGAAGTAGTAGCATGGATTCGAAGAATCTTAAGATCAGATAAAACAGGACATTCAGGTACACTAGATCCCAAAGTCACTGGTTGTTTATTAGTTTGTATAGATCGAGCCACTCGTTTAGTCAAATCACAACAAGGAGCCGGTAAAGAATATGTTTGTGTGTTAAGATTACATTCAAGTTTACAAACCGAAAAAGCTTTATCTCGAGCACTCGAAACTCTTACCGGTGCACTCTTTCAACGTCCACCCTTGATCTCAGCTGTCAAACGTCAACTTCGGATTCGAACGATTTATGAAACTAAATTGATTGAGTTTGATAACAAACGTCATTTGGCTGTCTTTTGGGTTAGTTGTGAAGCTGGTACTTATATTCGTACTCTTTGTGTTCATTTGGGACTTTTATTGGGCGTCGGTGGTCATATGCAAGAATTACGTAGAGTTAGAAGTGGTGCGATGGGTGAAAATGATGGGATTGTAACCATGCATGATGTATTAGATGCTCAATGGGTTTATGATAACACACGTGATGGTAAGTTCTTTTACATTTCAAAAGATATTTTTATGATCCACTTGACTGACCAAACTTGAAAAATCTTCACAGAATCATACCTTCGACGTGTCATTCGTCCCCTTGAATCACTCTTGACCGGTTACAAGCGAATCGTAGTTAAAGATACTGCAGTCAACGCTGTATGCTATGGTGCCAAGTTGATGATTCCCGGTTTACTGAGATACGAGGCTGATATCGAACTAAACGAAGAAGTAGTACTTATGACTACCAAGGGTGAAGCTATTGCCATCGGAATCGCTCAAATGACTACGGTAGAACTCGCAACTTGTGATCATGTTGGTTTCTCTTTACTATCTATCTTCTTAACACAGTACTTCAAACTTTAACAATCACGTTTCTTTGAGGATATTAGGGAGTAGTAGCTAAAGTTAAGCGATGTATCATGGAACGAGATACTTACCCTCGAAGATGGGGATTAGGACCCAAAGCACAAGAAAAGAAAAAGGTTAGTACTCTGTAATTCCTCTGACAAATCAGAGCTTTGCTTAAGAGTATCACTCTTTGTTTAATCTTCTATCACAGATGATCAAAGTGGGTGAACTCGACAAATATGGACGAGCAAATGAAAAGACACCATCTAAGTGGCGTGAAGGTTACACTGATTACTCAGGTGGAGCTGATCCTACTTCAGCACCTGCTGCTGATACTGACACTATTCCGGTAAGTGATCATTCTCAACATCATGATAATCCAGAGAAACGTCTTATGAATTGATGAACGATTTTTTTTCTTGATTTTTTTTAGACTCAACCACCATCCAAACCAACTGAAGAAGAACCATCAACAGAATCATCAAAGAAAAACAAGAAGAAACGTAAATCTGAACAAGCTGAAGAAGAAGTTGGAGATGTTTCAATGGCGGTTTCAGAAGTGGTTGATCCACAAGAAACTGAAGAAGAACGAAAGAAAAGAAAAGCAGAGAAGAAAGCAGCTAAGAAAGCTGCTGCAGCTGCAGCTGGTGGTGGTGGTGATCTGGCTGATGTTTCTATGGCTACATCTGAAGTTGAGAGTAAACCTAAAAAGAACAAGAAACAGAAAAAAGAGGAATGAATTAAACAATGAAAAAATGAAAAATCCTATTTTTGGAAAAAAAAAATGTGAAGAATTTTCATAATTTTTGATATACCCTATTTAAATCAAAGAAAAAGGTTGTGAAGGAGATTGAATGGATTGATACAGTTCTCACTTTTTTCCTTTTAGATTTTAGTGTTCTTTTTTTATATGTGATTTTGTCTACATGTTTTCATGTTTTGTTATATGATTGATATTAAAAGAGATTTTACTTCAAAAAAATGAGATACAGAGAAAACATAATGATTGTGATTTCATTAATTAAATCCTATCTCTTCATTCATAGAGCATTTAGTAAACCACTGACTATATTTCAAAGGAATTGCAGGGCCAAGCCACCATGATTGATTCATCAAGTCCACAAGTCCACATCATCATTTTGGAGTGATCTTGAACTGTGAATGTTTTTTACATGGGAGCGCGTTGTGTCACGGACAATTATAAATTGACAAAGTCATCTTGACGCCGATGAGAATACCCCAAACAGATGAATCTTGACAACCCAAACTGAAAAAAAAAAATTAGTATACCAGAGGAGCGTGCACAGTGATTGAAAAGCTGTTCAAGTCCAATCTTATGGTTCATTGTAGACAAATGATCACACCTTTCCATTTGACTCATGTTTTACTTAAAAGTACAAAAGCTTTCTGGGGGGTTTTGTAATAGAAGCATATATAGAGGCAGAGATGTTAGTTGAGCGTTTCACGCCCTCAATGCTCGCCTCCATCCAACCAATTTCCAAAAATTCTCAAAGTTCAAGCAGTTCATCATCTTAAAAAACTTCTTCATTGATTCCGGTTGAGATCATTCCAGTAAAATTAATGCCAAAATCATTCAACAAGTGCAATTATTACCGACTCAAAACTCATTCTTGTAGATGGTTTGTTTCGATCTTCTTTGAAAGTAAATGATGCATGAGGTACATTGATTCCGTGTCCAGCCCTACTGTCATGTTGCATGAAAACATACACCTCGTCTTTTTCTTGTTGACTCAAGTAAAACCATTCTTGACCTTTTCTATACCTCCATGGCTGAAGTGCAGTTTCGGAATCTGTTATTGTAATTGTCGACTTGATAGCGTCTTCTTTAGAAAGCGAATTCCATTTACAAAACCCAAGATGATTGTCTCGAACCGTATGAAGAGGCTTCCAGGTGTTTACGATCAGAACGTGTTTCTCGCTCATTTGTTTTCCAAATGCAACGTGTTCTGGATCCTCTGACGCCAAAAGAGCTTCTTGGGCTTCGCGTTTTGTAAATTCGGCCCCTGTTGGTGACAGATCAGAGTGAATTACTGGAAGTGGTTTTGGTGTTTCCGGTGAGTTGTGATCTCTAAAAAGAGCCTCGGCCCTCATAGGATAATGCTAATTTTGCTCCTGTCCTATATATTCAAAGTCAATGAGCCTCTGCTTGTTCTATTTGAAGATGAATTGATTTAGAGGAATCTCCTTACAACTCTTTTACAAGTTCAATCGAGTCGTCATCCAAGGCATCATTATGCTCTTCTGATAATTCGTCCAAGTCTTCGATTCCTGCAACATGCCTTCCGGAAACCCACGTAAATCCATCGCTTTCAAGATTGGGTCTTTCCTTTAAACTCCGAAGGTCTTGAAGAGGAACATGTTGAGGATTTGAGAAATCAACTTCATAGATATTTTCCGCTCGATTTTCTACATAATGGTAAACCTCGCCCAAAACTGTTCCAGAACCTTGTAATCGACATCAAAGTTGACCCAAATTTAGCTTAGTGTGGTATAATAATTTTGTGGAATTTGGGGAAAAGTAAATGAACACGAACTTCTTACTTGTCGTTTTGAAAGACTTCTACAGTTTATCAACAAACTGTTAGAGAACAAGAACAGGACTGATTTTTGTAGCAACGAGAATGAATGCATTGAAAAGTAAGCTTTCAAAAAGAACAATCCTATGTGGAAAAAAATTAGAGGAAGACTTCAACACCGATTGTATGATATCATCATGTCATCTACACTGAAACAACAGTCTAATTCTTTCGCAAATCTGTTGATGCCTGGAGAATTGTTCTATGTAAATCCAGCTAGATTGCGGGGTCTCGAGACGTGCAGTCGGTTTGGAGCTAGATGCAAAGTGTGTGATCAGGTTTGGAAAAAAGGATTGTCCTATGTAGAGGGAACCGTGCTGCCACAACTATGATCGGAGGAAGACAAATGCAGAATTAATGCTGGTGATTGTTCCGATCAAGAATCTGATACTTTCCGAAAAAGCCCCTTCCTACCTTCATAGATGACCTTTCCACCATTATCTCAGAATGAAAAGCGGATGGGTGAGCATTTTATTTTAATCACCCTTTACAACTGGTTCCAATAAGATGTAGAACTTGAAAACTCCGCAAAGCGCTTTTTCTGCAAGAAGCTCACCGCGTTGATCATCAGAGCTCCCAGTCTTCCTCCGCATCACGTAATTCCATCAGCATCACTGAGCTCTTGATACTATATTATTATATATATGTGTGTTGTAAGAGATTGTTAGTTTACAGATTCCAAGCTAGAAAAGAGAAAAAGATAAGAGATTGTTTCTTTAATCAAATAACTCTGTTGCTCCATCAAATGAACTCTGAAGTCATCAACATTATCTAAAAGTCTGTCAATCACTTCAATCTCAAGACCTAATTGTCGCAAATCTTCCTTTTCAATTGCTCCTTCTTCAGGGTTAAAAATATGAAATTATCAATTCTTTCTTTAGAAAGTGATTGTAAAAGGATTGAGGATTTTCAGCTAGAATCAAATCTAAATAATCTATTATCGGTACTTGAAATTTTTGTTTGAGTACATGCATTCTGGGACTACTTCTATAACTCATTTCTGTTCCTATATCATCTGAATCATCTGATGATGAATCATCCTGATGATCCAGATGAAGGGCCGTCAAAATGATTTTGCCTTTTATTATTCTTTGTCATCTTTTTACTCAGTATCATCGAAGCAGGTGGGATTTCGAGACTGACGCCGTACTCGACGCCTGAAATCTGTTTGGGTTATACAAAGCTTGGATCAGCTCGGCAACGATAGAATTTAGGAAAGTGAAATAAAGATCACTTACGATAGCTTGAGCCCATCTATTGATGTTACTATCAGTTAATATGACATATTGATCATCATCTCCAGGTATCGAATATATCATACTCGTTGGGTGTACCCTGTTATCCGTTTCTCCTTGAAATGCAATCTTGATGACTAATACATCAACCTCATCAAGCTCTTCCACGCCTTTCAGCTCCTGGAGGTCGAGAGACTTTGGTCAGTATAGCCTGTGACCTTTGAGAATCAAAGCAGATACTCACTCGAGTTCGAGCTATACAATCTTCTACCATTTGGCGAGTCAAATCTGCCTAAGATCATCAAAAAACGTTGTAAGTCAACTGTAAAGAGTTCAAGAACACGATCGAGAACGACAGTACATTCGAGCCATGAAAGGTATGCTTACTAGTGCCGATTGATCATCTCTCGGAACCGGTTTCTTCATAGTCAAACTAATCCCAGCATCCTTATTTAAGTTCTGGAGAGACGCTTTGATCCATTCTTGGAAATCTTCTTCAGTTTGAATCTTTTTCTCTAAAGTCTTAGTCCAATTCTTAATTCCAGTAACCCATGATGTCCAATTGATTTTTGATCTTTTACAATCCCAACTTTTTATAACCAAATCCCCAAGTCGATCATAATGTGAATTCAAAGCATCACCAATGGATTTTCGAAAATCTTCAAATGTAGTGGAATTCGATTTGACTATTAATTTGATGATTCCTTTCTTGATAATAAATGGTATCCGTTGAGGTGATTCTGTTGTTTCATGAACAAGGTAAATGTGACAGTCAAGGTGTGCAATAAAATCATCTGGTGCATTCGGCATGTTGGATTTCCGATCTTGATTGAAATCAGTTGAGTCATTCGCGGATGAGCAGTTATCCATGTTTTTGTTGTTTTTGTTGTTTTTGTTGTTGTTGTTGTTGTTCAGATATTACTATGATAACTGTGATGAGAAGATATTCAAAAAAGGAGAATCAAAGTTAAAATGACGTCATTACACGGCAAGACGGTTTCAACTTCTCGCAGATCCGCGCTCCGCCATTCTTTTCCAAAGTTGATCCCTCATAAACATCTTTAGCATTTCCACCAGTGAGTCCTCTCGCTTCTGAATGTGCACACTTAAGCTTTCATCCACCAAGTTTATTCAGTATTCGCAAGAATTAGCCACGTCACGCCCTCAGGCTCTGACAGGAGTGCCCACATAAAATCAAACAGATTTGTTTGTTTTCGTCACATAGGAGCTTTTGGAAAATGGCTTGAGGACCGCATCAGATGTAAAAGAACTGGAAGGCATATTGCTGGGGATAAGGAGAGGCGGTCAAGAGACAAGATGTTATCTCGATCAGATACAAGTCAGGTTGGTACTTTAGGCAGGCGAGCCGGTAATGAGGGTACATTTGATGGTAGCTCTGATCAACACTGAACGAAAGAATGCACGAAAGAATGCAGGAATTGATGAAATGAATGGTATGGTTCATAATAAATCCAAATGAAACATAGACAAGGCAGTGGAAAGGAGAACAGGAGGGGAACCTGGTCCATTTGCGTAAAAATTAAAGCGCAAAGGAGCAGGTTTCCAAGAAACTCAAGTTCAGTTCTGGTTAATTTTGATATTCACTTATACCTTAGCCGTTAACCGATGCTCAAGTTCAATCAACATACCTTGCACAATGCAAGACCACATGGTTGATCATGCCGCGACCATCTGCTTCAAATGTGGTGTGTATGGCGTTGCAAGATAGGAGTGCACTCCTGGTCACAAAATCGATAGGCATGTATGGGGCTTTGACTGCTCGGCACTAAAAGGTCAATTTTGTGACCAGAATGAGACCGATACATGATTGTTTAAAGTCGAGCTTTTTGTTCGTTCTTCGCTAAAAACACCTCCGCAACCTTGCGTCTTTGTACCTATGATCAAGAGACACCAAGGGTTCAGATGTAGCACATAACATACGAAAGATGACGATACTAACCTTTCCTGTAGCGGTCTTAGGTATTTGCTCGACTATGAAGATCTTCTCCGGTACCTTGAACTTCAAGGCGCAAGTGACCAAATGGCATCAATGGTTCAATCCGCTTTATAGCTAGGCAAATGAGACTTTTCAACACACTTGACCCAATCTTTTGGAAAGATCTTTTTGTATTTCATTTTGAGTGAGCGTAATGCCGGTTTTTAGAACAACGGCAGCCCAAGGGACTTCGCCGTACTGTTTGAGTTCAACTGTTAGTTCTTCATGGCTAGTATGGTACTGTGATCAAGGCTTACCTTCTTATCGGGAACCCCAAAAGCTACCGCTTCCGCTACTCCTGGTACAGCCAAAAGTGCCCCATCCAATTCAAGAGGCGATAACTTCTCACCACCTCTATTGATCAATTCCTTCAATCGACCAGTCAAAGTGAGACTAAAGATACCAGAAACAGGAAAGAAAGCATTTTAAACTTGTGGACCAAAAGAGTTCCATCGATCAGCTTGAGCTTACTATCCGTCTGCATCCAACCTTCCACGGTCACCGGTTCGAAAAAACCTTTCTTTCACAGTAAAAGATTCTGAATTGGCTTTGGAGTTGTTCAAGTAGCCCGCTGTAACATTAGGACCTCGGATACATACTTCACCCTCTTCGACTTCATCTTCTGAATCAAAAGAAAGGATTCGGAGATCAACACCCTGTGGCTTTCCGACCGTACCAGGTTTTCTCTGGATCGAGATAGTTCAGCGTCAGCGTTTTCTAGAATTTTTTTCCGGCGAGGTCCATCGAGCTTTGCACTCACTTTGGCTGGTGGCAGTGGATTTGAGGTCATTTGGTGAGTCGCTTCCGTCATCTATGTAACCCAGGGTAAGTAATGGAGTATGAATCATATTGATATCTAGATGGTACGTACGGCATAAGCCTCTAAAACAGGAGCGCGAAAGGCCATTTCTAGTTCTCGATGAGTGGTCGCACTGAGTGCAGAAGAGCAGGATCGGATGAATCGAAGTTTGGGGAGCGGTGAAGGAATGGGCGAATGCAAGAGAATTTGGTGGATCGTGGGCTAAGGATTGAAGGTATCTTCGTCAGAAACAAAATAAGCGTTGCAGCATTTTCGGAAATCGTACCACTGCAGTATACCACTGATGTTGACAAGTATCGGAGGAGACAATCAAGAAGATCAATTCAGACATTTAGGATGGCGCTCTGGTGAGCGTAGTGAACGTAACACACATTGGAGTGCGAAAGCTGAAGTTCGCTCCAAAACGTGCGCGCCGCAAACCGAGGTGGAATCACGCATGTCCCACCTGAGCCTAAGGGGGCCAGTAGACCAGCAAGAAGGCCACTGAAGCGCCGCCATCAGTTATCATGTATAGTTCATGGGGGTCAGGATGGTGAATGGGTCAAGTAAAGAAATGGTCGCACTGGACGTGGAACAGAGGCATCACTATGAAGGACCGATCACTAGGAGTGAGATTGTAGGTATTTTTGACGCTAGATCAAAGGAAAGTGCGTCAAATAATCTGGTCACATTTCATACTTAAAGATGTCACTGGACTCACTTCTGCATGGTTGTGATCAAGTTCTTATGGCTCAAAGGTACAGCTTAAGAAATTAAACGATTGGATACAATCAGCATGATAGTTTCGAGTCCCAAATCGCAAAGTATCAAGCAATCGCACCCTTTGGTTTGCCAGTGGTTCCGCTTGTGTGAAGAAGTAGCATTGTGTCATGTTCCTGCGGATGAACGGTAAGTGCCGTGTTACCTGCGTACCCGCCTCGACCGGGGATGTCCAAAACAATCCTGCGTTGATCGACAATATAGGTCACTTCGCCAATCAAGATCCCTAACTTCTGGGCAGCCTGAACTGCTCCGGATGGTTGTGATGATAGGGCACCTTTGGGTAACAATAATAACTTGGCTGAAGAATCACTGTAACGGATGCCTCATTGTGAGCTGGACACCTGGAGCAGCGAAATATTTGGACAAATTGAAACGGTTCATACGATAGGTAGAATTCTATCGGAGACATCGAAGAACTCAGCACTTCACAGAGAGACAAGGCGCTTGGAAAAGTGGAGAGCCTGACGTTGGCTACTGACCAGCTTCATCCTTGGTGTAGGCTGGGTTCAGCGGTGCAGCTGAGTTAATGCAATGTAAGGCAAGCGACTCAGCGTCAGATCAGATGGGCGGATAGTTGTTATCAAATTTCTCATGAGATGGAGGCTTCGCAACCTCTGCAAGAAATAGTGTTTATGCTTGGGCGTGCGAGGCGTACATGCAATCATGCATCGAGATACGGATCCAGAACCAAGTGAGATGATTGCACGGGATACGCCCCACTCATCAATCGAGTTTCTGAATTGTTTTCTCCGTGACATCAGATACTCGAGACAAACGCGTATGTCGATTTGCCAAACGCTGAGCCTCAGATTGAGAGCGGTACCTCAAAACCAAGATCGCGTATAATATCGAAAAGGTAGCCTACCGATATGCGCATTTTGTCCAATGGCGAGGAAAGCGACAAGGAATTCGAGTGAGTTCGGAAGACTAATGCTGACAGAAGTTTGTCTTTGTTTTAATTCTGGTAAGCCGCTCAATTGGCTACTAAGAGCGGTCACGAGCGCTTGCAACTCTGAGTAAGACACCAGATGAAGTCCAGAAAGGCCAGTGGAAGAGGGTGGAAGGACCACAGCCGTACTGGATGGCACACTTGCTGAAGCGTAAACGTAGGCGGGAAGAGTCTTCGCCGAGACCGTCATGTTGGTAGAAAATCAAAAACGGTAAATGCGATGAAGTGGTGTCGGAAGTGGAATAAATTGGAGGAGGGGAGAAAAGAGAAGTGCAGGTTGGACTCGGACATTCGGGCCGGGTCGGGGTGTCAATCCAATTTGAATCAGCTCAAAAGAATGTTGAGATGTCTTGATGACCAGGATTGCGCCTTTTCGCGTTGAGACAGGAAAATACCAAATATGTACCTGAACATTTCCCTCAACGTTCAGCTTTAAAAGGTCGAGAAACACCAATCTTCGAATCCCCAAATCGAATCTCCAACCTTCAAACTCGAACCAACCTTCTGAAATCGATTGGAAACCCACCACCAGCAAACTCAAAGTCTCATTATGCTTTCAAGAGCTGCGTTGGCGAATATTGCTACTCCCCCCACCTCTCTACCACCCAAAAAGTGGATACGACATTCGGACCGAAGAGCTAGAGCTGGTCGATCCGTTTGGAAAGAACCTAATGACGACTCCCCACTCCCTGGTTCTACCAAGGGAGATTCGAAATCGAGCAAAAAGCCAAACGAAGAGATGGACATGTCTGTTGTCCATGATTCCCGAGGTAAGGTCAAGTCCGAAAAAGAAGCCGATTCACCACAAACCAGCACGACTCTTCGAATTCATCCTCAAGAACGTAATTCAAAGTTGGAAGACAGAGTGCAGGACTCAAAGTTTTCCGACCCATTCATCTGCAAGTCCAGCACTTCAGGACTTCCTATTGAATCGACCACACCGGCCACACTCTACAAAAGAGACCGCGTCACCAGCACGCATGCATCCTCCAAAGATCGGCCGCTCATAACCGACTCAAAGCCACGCAACCGGATCGCTTCGACGTCGCACGAACACAAGTCAGACTCAAAGCTTCCTGTTCGATCTGTCTGCGAACCTCGTCGTTCGAGACCATCGATTCCATCGACTCCACCAGCCACGACTTACAAAAAAAACCATATCATCGACAATGACACATCATCCACAGACCGGGTATTCACAACTAGTTTGAAAAAGCCACACAATCCGCATACATCGGTGCTGGACGACCTAGACACGAAGCCTTCCCGTTCATCGATGTACCAGGAGGGCAGTTCTAGAAACCCTATCGAACTCACCTCTCCACCTACAACCGACCAAAGGAGCTATACACTATCCAAAAACCGGATGCCTGGCACCTCTATAAGGCCACAAAAATTATTTGTATGTCGTGAACTTGGTTTACCTCCTACTCCATATACCTCTCGTCGCATACGACACTCTTCTTCTGTCTCGCCTCCTTCGAAACTGGACATGTGCAAATCAGAAGACGAGACAGTGAAGGAGGACATGAAGGACGATCCGTTCACAGCGAAGAGTACAGAGCCTAAAGCTCGACGCGAACCAAGGCAACGGAGTCCGTTTGAGCAATACCCAGGTCAAAATTTTATGAGAGAAATTCAGAAAAAACGAAAGGAAGACTTGAATCGAAAGCGTAAATTGAGTGAGGATATGAATAGCGATTCCAAGCGATCGTCAGGTGGATTCATGTCACGATTCGAAATCGATGCCGAGAATAACTTTGGAGTTGGGCACGTATTTAATGAAGTGGCGAGAGGTAAAGAGGCTAGGAAACAGATGCATGGCGCAGATTGTGATTGTTGTGCTGGGGTAAGTGACATTTTGATCAATTTCTGGTGATGTGAAGGTTAATAGTCGTGTGGGTTTATATCTCCGCGATATCTTTTTTAAGTACTATGAACAGGCCGCCAAAGATCTTCGTATACCCTTGAAGGAATTACCGAATCGGATGGGACAGCACAAAAACGACATATCAAGACATCGGCACTTCAATCCTCCCCCCACTACTCCACCAGGTTATTGGTAAGTCACGTAACAAAAAGATCTTGCAAAGAACTATTTTTTTACTTCGCGTATTTACTGTATTTCCACTTGATTTAGGCAAATGGGGTTTCCAGACACCCCACAAGTTAAAACTATCAATCGACAGGCGCAGGAAAACAAAAGACGTAAACTTGAAATTGTTGAAGCGCAAGCTAAGTAAGTTGACATGATGGTCTTGCTACCTCGAGAGATAACAAGATAAGCTGAGCACTTCATAATGTTTCCTGTTAACCTCTTTTCTGTAGAGATGGAGTTGGTCCCTACAAATTCAGAACTTGAACATTGAAGTTGATATCTGTAATGAGCTCGCTTGTCTAATTTTATTTTTTCTCCTCACACTTGATTTTCCGTTCCAATTTGAATGACTGTTTTTTTGGATTATATTCGTGGTATTTCCAAAATTGTATCTGTCTTATAGCTTTAGCTTTGTCATGTGAAACAGGGCAACACTCATCTCTACACAATGACCGTATTCTCGTTCTGTCTTTCTACAAATTCTTCCTTTGTAGGCTATGGACAATTCTATCCTACCATATATCATAGTTACTGGCATTTTTCAGAACTTACAGGGGGCTCATACCGGATTGTCAAACCATCAGATATCAAATCTTGCTGAATTTTTGCCCACACATTCATCACTCAATTAGATGAAATATCAATCTAGGAATCAAAGATATGAAAATAATTCTGACGAAGGCTAGCGCTCCTTACGATTTTACTCACATCCCCTTCTATCACCTTGGAAGCCGCGTGTTTTGGTTTCCCTGCACACATATACATTTTTGTTTTGTCGATGGTCACAGTCGGCCAAGAGAGTTTTTTTGTAAGCACTTCATGAGAACATCTGGTACGTTGAGTAAATCGAAAGTAAATCGAATGATGGAAACCCCGAACTTGCTGAGCATAGTTTATGCTTACTTTTCCGGGGCGCGTCTCGTGTAAGCTCAAAGAAGCCCCTTGCCCGTCCCTGTGAGTCCCTCTCTTCGAGAAGCGTGGGCGCTTGGGTGCATAAGTTGAGGGTATGGTGATACCAATTAAGCTTTCAGAAACAAAAGCCGTCAATCTCCTTATATCTCCTCCATTGGACTTCGAAAGGATGTCCCGGCGTGACGGTGAGCTGAAAACCGAGTGCCTGGTAACACGGATTCAGATTCCCAAAATGGTTTTCCTCTTGTTGTACATAGGCTGGGGTTCGGGAGTCTACTGACGTGCACTCGCATCCGGCACCATCCGCCTCATTACTTGAATGCTGAGCCGGTGCTTACGAGTGAGTCTCTCCACTACGATTTGTACTAACTTGACTTTGTAGCACACCTGTCATCTTTGCTAACAACTGATCTTTATGAGTACAACTCTCATTTTGTAATAACTGGACTTGCATATTCACCAACTTGAAAAAAAACCATCACTTGTTTCTTGATGGACATGTGGTCCGAGGGTTGCAGACTCGGACAAAGTGATCCAACGATCGGCCAGATAAAACGATCTTAGCAATTCTGTCAACTCATCTGTGTATGGTTCCATTGAATCACCGATGGTTCGATAGCTGAAATTGATTTTTGATTATTGTCCAAAATCAAGATGGTCATGGATGTCATTGACAGGGAATGGTACGTACCAAACTAACTTGACCAAGTTCAACTCTGCTCTTTTGCGGCGCGAGCTTGCAAACACCATTGATCAAGTTTTACCTTAAAAAATCGATGGCATATTTCACAAGTGGTTTCAATTAAATATCTTCAATCTATTTACAAAAGTTGTAAGCCATACCAAACAGGGCTAGAAAGCGTAGAGAATGGGAATGGATTTTGAACACCCAAACCAAGTCTTACAAGAAATATCAACTATAACTTTAAGGGACCCTACTTCTCATATATCTTCTACCGAGATCGTCCAAATTGGCTTCCACATCATCACAGCATCTAAAATCCCCACATCAAAATCACCCGAAAGAAGCTTATGCAACTATCCAGACCCATTTGTTTGTAGTCACATAGAGTCTCAATGACATGATGTCATCCTAATGTAAAATGATAGTCAAGAACTGATCGAACTCCATTAGGATCACTTCTTGACTAGTGAATTGAGTGAATTGATAATAAAACTTACAAACTCATTCTCTAGTAAGCTTTCAAGCTCAATCAATTCCATCGGTTCTTCGAGTCACATATTTGATAGATAGACAAGTTCAAAGAGAATGAAGCTTCTGAGTCTGACTCTTATATCGACTACACTTACCTAATTCTCCATTTCAATCCTCACATAGCAAACTTTATCCACGCACAAATATGTCATCTTTCAAAGGATTACCCACTAAAGTTGACTTTGCCTTATACCTTGAACTGAAATCATTTGCTATCTCTGATTGATATTCATTTAATCTGATACTCATCATCTTCAGTGACCAAGTTCGGTCGATTCCTTCTCAGTTTACCATGTTACATATTCAACTTCATCCGTTCAACAACGGTTCAGGCCCCTGAATTATAAGCAACTCGCGCATACGTAGAACTTGTGCACATAGGGGTTTCCTCGGCTGATATGCCTAACATTATTAACATTTTTCAGTTTGTTCATAATAATTCACTCAACTCTTGATACATATTCAGATATTCGTATATCTGATAAGTTCAGACCACATATTCTAATGCCGTTTTATGTGCGCTGATTACGTATCTTTTGAAGCTTGATTTGGTTTTGATAAAAAGCCCTCTTGATCATCAACTCCTTCATCCACTTCATCAGCTTCCCGTCTCGGCATTGATCTTTTTTGGGGGTCTTCAAATCCTAGCTGTTAGTGGATTTCCTTCTGAGAGTGATGAAATCTTAACCCTCACCCCAAATTATTCTCCTCGAATCTCCAAAACCATCAACTTCCTCCGTTTGATCCCGGTGTCCAACCTTGGCGTGACTATAGGATTGTATCATTAATTTCCAGTCAAGACATTTTATATCTTACTAAACTTCATCTCTTATGAAGCTCTGATTTGATTTTCGTGTTCTTTCTTTTATCGTCAAAGCTTTCAACTGGCCGCTGTCTAGCACTGAGTTTGTGAATATCATCGACACACGCTGCTCAAGCTACATAATCTACGCTGATAACCCACCGCAGTGAATCGAAAGTTGCTTGTATTTCTTTTTCCAAAGACTTTCTAGCTCAATCTTCAAGTCGAGTCCAAACTAAAGCTCACTCAGATTTCCATCAATTTCCCTCTTTACCCCTACAATCTTGACTTTTCAAAAATACTAGATCAGATTCTTAGATTCGCGCATGCACCCCTCTTCAAGTTCTATCTTTCCTCGGTCCAGCTTTTCAATATTCTCACTTGTCTGACCTTCATTCGCAGGCGATTTGTGCCCCACCGCAAGCAAACTATCTTCCAATTCTATAACTTTTGTTTCGGCACAGCGCATACATCTCTTATTACTTCAAACGCTCTCAACTTCAAACGCGACTACGTACGGTCGGCACAAAGACTTGATCACATTTCCTAACCCCTATTTAACCTTTAACTTTTAGATTGTTTACCCGAGCGTACCACAACAAAAACAAAGCATACATTCTAAAAAACATATAATCTACATTTACCGAAAACATATAAAATGGCTCAAATTCAAGACCAAGATCCGCTATGGTCTCAAAACGATCGCATTAAATCCAATCGACCTTTGTCTGTACAAGAGTGGCGAAAAAGCGTTTTTATGTCAACTCAACTTCGAGTCGATTCACGAGTTAGTCTTCAATTGTCTTGTCTATAGCTTGATTTATAGGCAATTTTACTGATCTTATCCCTTTGTAATTGAATTCACAGCAAAGTGATAAGTGCGAATCATCTGGTCTATCTCAGGTAGAAATCGATTGGAGTTCGGTACGTTCTTATGGTATTTTCCTTTCTTTATTTCCTCGTACTTAGTCCTGTCTTTGTATCCGATCAGCAGCATCAGCCTTATGTAGACTTTATCCCTAATCGACCTCGCTCTCAAACTTGTCAACTTCCAACACCCGTACAATCATATAGAAAACGGCAATCATTGAGAATCACTCCACTCATCGACCTCAATCAACCTCGTGATGCTAGTGGCCGACCTATCACTTATGAAGAAGATGAGAGACGTCGCCGTGAGCGAGCCCAGCTTCTCACTGGAAGGTTCTCTAACAAGAGCACCCCGGGACTCTCTTCGGGATCATTACTAGTGATAGATGATGAACTTGAAGTACGTCATCGTGCGGCCATGCGTCGATTGCAAGCAGAAGCTATCGATCAAATTGAGCAAGCCGAAATGCTCCAACAACGTCGAATGGCCAGGTGCCGTCAATCTCGTTCTTCTACCGTCTCGAAATCTCGAGGAACTGGTTTTGACTCACAACCTGAAAGTCCAACTCGAACTGAAAATCAACATCATTTTGATATTCCTTATCGTAATACTAAACTTGATCCTAGACCTGTTGTTGGAAGACTTGTTCAGAAAGGAAGTGCTAAGATTTTAAAAGTTGTAAGATCGATTGGTCATCTTCGACATAAAGCTTCTAGACCGTTACAAAGGATTGAACCAGAGAAAGGAAGCTCGTCACAATCTTTTATTTATGTTGAAAAGCCTTGATGTATCAATTTCATCCTTTTTCAATGGACTAATTCTTTCTTATGTGACCTGTGGTAACTTTGTTTTGATATCTACGGTCTGGTTTTTGGTTTCAGCTTTGTACAAATACACTTCGCTTTAGATCATTAAGACAGTCTTGCGTTCTTTATTTTTTGTTTCTTTTTGTAGCTTTGCATATATCTTAGAACACGTTTATAAAGGTCATTTCATTCTTAAAAAGAAAAAGAAAGCAGAATTCTTAAATTTTCACTCTAGACAATTTATAAATACATCAACTCCTGTTTATATCTCATTGCGATTTCTTTTTTTTCGATTTTCTACATTGTTCATCTATCTTATCATATCTCTCTTCAGCAGGGGCATTGTTTGAATTTTAACAGATTTTCTTGATTCTTTATGTATCTTTGGTTTTGCATTTAACCCATGTCATTTGGTATGAATCATGTTTACCTTTTTTGCTCAGAAAAGAAGAGAACAGAATTACGCGTTCATTGCTCATTCTTCAAGGGGTTTGAAGAGAATTATAAAGAGTGTTGAAACGACCAATCCCAAAAGACGGTGTCAAACAATAGATTGATCAAGTGAAAGACATTGGGCAAAAAGGGATGGTTGGTCGAAGAAATGCTGATCATACTGGGTGATTTGCAATGTGACATAACGGTGCAAGAAGAGCTTGATGCATGAAGTCAATGGAAGCAAAAAGTGAAAGATTTCATCTTAATGGTCTAAATTGATTTATGACATTTTGAATATACATACACTCAAGCCTTTTGGCATTTTGTATGGATTAGTTTTATAAACTCATTGGTAGTTGATAGTTGGCATCAATGATGATGATCCACATCAAATTGAGTATCACAACCTTGGAAGCATGCACCATGTCTGTATCCCTGTAGGACGTCGACGTGCACACACGGAGAGTTTCCAAAAGAATCTGGAAGAACTTTTCTGAAGTTCAGACTGGTGGATCACCTTTATGCACACACCCTTTGTTGGAACTCAATTACCCGAGTTTCAACAACCCTCTTAATGAAGGCAAAGCCTCAAGACCTCTCTTGAGGCTCTTGCAAGTTTCTATCAAAAGTCTTTTGTGTGTGCATGTCGAGGTGTTGCATGAATACAGACATGGTGATGCCTCGAAATGGATCATCTATTCACGGACATGAGACATATCAATCGGTGGTGGATGTGGCACAATTATGGCGCTGTTGGATGGACCCAAGCTAGAGTGTCCCAAACTTTTCCTTGCAATGCAAGAGGAGTAGAGCATGCCAGGCTAATCCTTATTGCCCAAGCACACATGCCAAAGTAAGACAGACAAAATATAAACAACTCTCATCTAGCCATCAGCAATAGCAGCTGAAGAGACATGATTTGAACCTCCCCTAGGTATCACATCTATTAGAATGGATTTACCATTTTCAGCTGGCATGATGTGAAGTTTTTGGAAGTCAGGCATAGACAGCAAGAAGGAAATACTCTTTGTATTGATTTATGATATGACTCAAGCATGCAAACCATCCAGAAATCTCATCACGATGTTCAAATGCAAAGGGATGTATAGATTTATAATGTATTCAATGGATTCTTTATTTGATTGCTTCAATTTCATGAGTTGGTATGATTGAGTAAATTATAACAGCTGAATAAGATGGGTGATGGGGAGGGTTATAACCCTCAATTAGAATGTGGATGACTATAATTTTTGAGTTTGTTTTCAAGCAAAATAGATATTCTTTGCATCTCACAGCTCTTTCAGTCCCTGTTGGAAATAAAATCTCCTGCTTTGCTTATGGTGCCTCTTTCTTCCAAAACTCAAACCCATGACTTGATATTTGGCACCTTCTTGTCTTGCAAATACATAACAAAACAGAGACTTAAAAAAACAGATACTCTGTGATTACAAGTAGTCTTCTTTGGTGATAAGCAGTACATTTTCAGCCAAGGTGGCCCTGAGAAAACATATACTCTATCAAAACTGATCATCTTGGTCAAGAAATTTCAAGTATCTCTTTTGTCAGACTTCACTGTATGGCTGTAATATTCAAAGGTCAAGGGATAATTTCCAGGCACATTGATTTGTCAGGAGACAGATCTATAGTTCCTTCTGATTGCCTTGAGTACTCAATTTTTGATGATGATGATGATGATGATGCTGATGAAATCGATTCAAAAATAAAGTCCCACACAAATATGATTCTGGAACTTTTCCAAAAGTTTTCCAGAACCCCAGAACACAACTTTGGCTGTGTTCTAGATTCCTGGGCTTGTGAAAAACAGTACATGTTTGAATTTCCTTTTGCCCAGGGTGCAGAAGCTTTCTGGCTTTCTGAAAAACATTCTGGAAATTTTGTGCAAAAGTTCCAGCAAAAAATATGTAGTATAATTTTTTATATGGGGCTTTGAGGGCTTTGCGTATATTTTATAATTGAAGCAAAGACCAGATGAAGTGAAACAGGTTTAGTCTGTTTATGTGGTTGATGTCATCAAAGTCTGGGAAGTGCCCTGCCAAAGCTTCTCTGAAGCCCAAATCAGCAATCCCTCCAAAATGAATGTCTCCAGGTTTCAAGGTTTCAAGAGACTAGCACATGCAAGGCTTTCTTTCGATAAGTTGACCTCGACAACTAATCAAGTCTCTCTAACAATTAGTTTCGCATGTATGTAGATCGTTTTTGAATATCAGAAAGGAAGGCATTAGCAATTCTCGATCGTCGAAGAACCCCTTGCTCCAAACATGATAGGATTTCTATTTTTAAGGGCTTCCATAGTTATCAACACGCACTTGTGCACGAGTCCAGTAAATCGATGAGGTTTCGGTTACTTGCAAAGACTCCGGTGGATAAGGTGATCATTACCCAGTACAGCACAAGCGATAACTTCGATTGATGTCCCAGTAACACAGGAAATCGAATCCTTCGGTTTCTGACCTTTTCTGACTGGCTAAGCTTGTACCAAGTGGTTGTTGACGAACATGATATAATCAGAAAAACCCACCTATAACAAAAGCTTATTCCATTCACTTTATCATATCGCTTCACTCGACAATTTATACAACACAAACCCCAACAGCTTGAAAGGGTCAACACCACTTGCGACTGGATTCGCCTTTCAAGAATATCACAGACCGAGATGGCTTCCGTCAACCGTCACCAACATGACTCTCGTGATCGCCAGTTTCTGAATGTCGGAAAGGCAATATGTATCGCACTGGTGATGATATTATTGAGATCATTTTTCACCACGACTCAATTCTTAAGCGATCGCACGCTTTGGTCTGGATACAAATCCCGTAAGAGTCCGTTCGGTTGCCTCCGACCTCGCAGGTTGACCCAGCCAAAATCTCAAGCGTACGCTTCGAGGCAGTTTGAAGTGTACGCTTGAAATTCTGCTGTTCGGTACAGAAGCCGCGGTCGACCTTTGAGGCGTCCACCTCGAGGTCGGCCAGCCAAATTTGTCGACCTGCCAGGTTTGACGTTTTGGTCGAATCTTGCAGGTTGACCTGGCTAGTGCCATAGACCTGAAACCAGGAGCGCGACATCAGATTTTGCAAAGGGAGAAAACCCATAAGTTGCGAGGTCAACTACACTTCAAGTCGAGTGTACCGAACGCACCAAACCCTGGTACACGCTTCGTGGCAGACATGGTCTACCTGCGGATCCGCAGGTAGACGCCTCGCAAGTCTACGCCTGCGAGGTCGAAGGCAGCCGAACGGACTCTAACCCTTCAGGAAACTTGACAAATTCTGCACCTCTGGTAGGCGCAAGTATAGCCTGGGAAGCTATGACCACGCTGGGTGCATCACAGCTGGAACCGAGTAAGTAGTCTGAAAGGGCGAGAAACATATAGTACTTCTAATCAAGGCTAAGTTTGACATCCCAAATTTCCCTTCTTGTATGATAGACCACGAAGCTCAAAAAAGTAGGATTGCTGAACCCTGAAGAAACTTGAGACCTATCAAGAAAACTAATACGATTTGTAATTTTTGACTACGCGTTACTAGCAGAACATAACTTAACATGTACGTCGAGTTCTGATCTATGCCAGAATCAGCAAAGTTAGAAACGAGTGCGTTGTTATCTGAAATGGATGAAACGAATATATCTTTCTTCTTTCACTTGTATGCAACCGCGGCTGGTTATGATTGCAGGTAAGCACAGTGTTTGCAATCAAGAAGAATAAGATCTAACTAATCTGGTCCAATAGCCCCAGGATCTTTGAATAAAAGGCAAACATTTCGCGAGTGTTTAAGGGAAAATCTATATGCGTCTGGAGGTAAGCTTGTTGGTGTTATGGTGAATAGATTATCATGAGTTGATGGGCATTCAATTATCTTGTGGATGAATACAGGTTTGAAGGAGCAAACGTTGATGACTACAGTGGAACCAGGTGAAAAATCAGCTTTCTAATTCCGTGTTGAAGCATATTTGCCTAAAGTCAAACTCGTCTAGATGTTTAATCACAACTGATGTGATATTTCATTTCTATCTAGAAGTGGGCAATCATGAGTTTATACAATCGTTAAAGCAAGGTAAGCTTGATATTCTAAATAAACAACCATGGAAAGGACTTGTAGTAATTATCTTCTGCACAAATTAAGGCATGATCGAACAAACAGCAGTGACTACAGTTGAAACAGGTGAAAACTCAGCTCCATGTTTCTGTTTTAAATCATATTTACGTCTTAATCCGTTTTCAAACTTATGATATTGAAATATGGGATGGATAGTAGTGGACAATCATGTGTTTCTACAAAAACTGAAGCAAGGTAAGATTGTTGAAAAGTATCATAATGAGAACCTTGATCCTGAACGACACTTTGAGTGAATGAAGGTATGATGGATCAAATTGCAGTGTCTACAGTGGAACCAGGTGAAAAATCCGCCTCTTGATCCTGTTTCCAGCCTCACTCGTATCTTCATCCTCAAGCAAAACTGACAACTGGTATTTCCATATCCGTGCTCATGAACTTTTGAATATTTGGGGAATGTGATAGGATTGGACGGTCTTGGGTTTCTACGGTCATTGAGGTCTCATATGAAAGGTATGGAAAAGATATATCAGTCTGCTTCAAATAGCCACTTGGGTACTGGGCGTTGAAAACTTACAATCCCATACAATGACTCATTTCTGATCAGGTGATTTAGTGAAAGACCTTCCAGGTGAGAACATAAATCATGAATTCAGTCAATCAATGTATTCAAGGTCCTCCAAGCTGTTTACATACGCATTAAAAATATGCGGGCTTGGAGAACAAAGATGTCCAAGATGTCAAATCTCACTCAAAAATGATCAATGAAGTGAACTTGGCCGTTTTTGTTGTTAATTACAGCGGTTACATCCGGTAGTTTTACAGAGTCCCTGAGAAACACCATAACATGTGAGTCTCAATGCCAATGTTGTGGGATCGGGAAAGAACTGCAAACATGGGTCGCTGACTTTTCTCTGAGAATCGGTAGATGAAACTCCACGTAAGGCACTCTCCTCTTACAACAAATCATCTAGCCTACAAACTAATGTAAAAGAAAAACAACCAAACTGCTGATACATTTAACAAGAGGGTAAGCAATCAATTGCCACAAAAGTGTTCTATCAGCGAATGAGCTAATGAACCAATCATAAAATCAAGTCACTTTGATTACGTTCATAGATGGCCTCAGGCTAACCTACAAGGGTGGGTTTTAGTCTGTATTTCACGGATTTATGAATGCATTATTGAATTTAAGATTTGTTCACCTCAGAGGGGCTCAAAACTACCACTGTTACTCAATCTCCAGGTATAGTTTTTCTTCCACATTTCAAATGCTGGTAATGATTATATTTTTGAAGATTATCTGAACACAATGGAATTGTGCTGTCACAGCAGAACAAGGTAAACCAAGTACTCCGGTTGAAAAGAAAGGTATGTTTGAACAATATTATCACAACCCATCTTATCCTTAGCTTTCCTAATTTTGACATTTCCTGATATTTGATGAAAACAGGTGATCACAATCTTTTCTCTGAAGATGAACTTCAATAGTGAACTGATGAGAAAAAGTAGATCCACCAATCAAGGTTGCCCATCCAAAGCCACAAAAACCCACTTTGGGTACGTCTTGGATAAAGTTCTGTAAGCATTGCTAAAGCTGATCCTAAACCTATTTTCTGATGTTACAAGTAGACAAAGGGAAACAGACATCCACTGTTCCTCAAGGTAAGCTCACAGAGTAAGCTTGGTGGTTTTGGCCCGTAAAGATGTTAATCTATGTTAAATCTTATTCTGTCATTGCAAAAAACAGGTAAGATGGTATCAGGACTCTACAATCAAACTCCTATTGTACTGAGTTCTTTTCAAAAAACACTCAGGGATCAGACCTTCAACCGGTGTTACAGTGTTTTCACAGCCTCCCAAGATAACATTTTACGGTATGTTGTCCCCTGTTACGATTCTCAACAAAGATTTTTGACACATTCTTTCTTTTCCAAGATACAACACCTGTCATAGTGGTCAATTATTACCCCCCGAGAATAGTTATGGGTTTCCACATGTCCCATGATGTCATTTACGTGTCAAGGCTCCCAGCGTTAAAGTGTTGAGATCTGATCTATCCTTTTTCCCTACCAAAATAATTTCTATGATGACAGGTGAAACATATGCTGTATTCTAGATCCAAATGATATGAGCTAATCACTGACATGATAAAAAATCTGGACATATAGTTCGGCCACCTGCTTTCACTGAGTTCCTTGGGAGAAAATTCCTTGGTATGTCTCTATCATCATCAGAATGAGAACATGATGAGAAACTCACCCTAACCATATAAATAATGTTCCAAAATGAAGGTATCAAGACTACTGGATCTTCACCCATCAAAAGTCAGCCATAGGCTCTTTCTTGATTCTTATCAATTGCTGACATGACTGACCATATATTCCATGATATGCCAAAACATTCAACATGCAGGTATGCTTGTTCCTCAAAGAACTCAACTTTACATCATTCCAATCCTACATAGTTTTCAAAGCCTGAAGTGGACAATGAATTTCATACATTCTAACAAGAGTATAAACTGACAATTCTGTTTGAATTCAGGGCTACCTACACCCTTGACTAGGAGTTTGAGAAGAAAGTATACTGGTGAGCCAAACCCATGAAGATCATATTTATCATGATTTTTACACTGAGCTCATGAAGCAAAAACCTTCAGTTAAATTGCAAGTTTTGACCCGCACAATCTACACCCAAAGTAAGTTAGTAATTGATCATAATGGGTCAATGATTCCTTGTTGGTGTTATCAAATTAAGATAGACAACTGTACTTTTGTACTAAGAGCCCTTCAAAAAGAAGTATTCCCTCTGGGGCGGTTTGATCTATCAAGGATGTTGATGTGACTAAACTAAAATACTCTTCCCTCTCTAGCTACATATAAGAAATTTCAAGGATTCTCTACTGTATTGGGTGAAGATTTTTCTGGTGAGTCTGACTGCACAGAACTATATATCTGATAGGATATGGAAACTTATTGTCAGATGTTCTTTTTTGAATAGGACGTCAACAATTTTTGGCCAACACTCTTCTTGGTCAAAGTATGTCTTTTGCAGAGGTATCCACGTTGCTGAGGGGGACCTTCATCTCAAAAACTGATTTATCCCACCAGATATTGTAGCTAAGGGACTGACATGATCCACTTTCTATGCAGGTCCCTTCACTCCGTTTACAGGTTTCTCAAAGAAGACTTATACAGGTAATGATTTCCTGGTTATGATGAAGAATATTCTAGCCAGCACTACTCATGCTTAAACATTGGCAGGTCGCTACAGTTTTATAACCAGAACACTTTTTGGAACAGGTCAGTCCTTCAAGCCTGTTTGATTTCTCCTCCTCCCTATATTCCAAAGCTATTTTCAGATATCCTTTGAAGCCCACGTGGCGCCTAGAGCCAACTAGATCTAATCAGCTTGGGATCCTCTTGATTCAAATGATCTCAAAATGAATGATTTAATTTGAATTACAACAGCCTTCTAACCATGATGGAATACTTTTTTTTTCAGGCTCCGTTGATGTCACCACTACACCTGCTCTGGATCATCCTTCACTGACATCCCAAGAAACAGACATCAATATCTCTCCTCCAGTTGGGGACAATTCTACTCCACCTTTGGATCCATTGGATACTCTTATAATCCCAGAAAGCCCTGAGGATCAAGGCAACATTACACCTGGTCAGCCCCTGGATGTCAGTGCAGATACTTCAACTCCAGGAGATTTTGTACAACCAACAACTAGTGAGGTTGATACCACTGTCACACAATCAGTTGAAAATATAACCACTGTCATCAATACTTCTGAGGTTGTACCACCCAAGTCCCCATCCACCCAACCCACATCACCTGCACCAGACATTGTCCAGAACACAAACAATTCTACACAATCAAATCAAGATACCACTCTTCCACAATCAGGTGATAATTCAACCTCAGACACAAATACTTCTCAGAATGTGCAATCTGAACCAAGACCGGACCAACCTGCAACACCTGTACCAGACGTTGTTCAGGACCCAGATAATTCTACACAATCAAGTCAAGATGCTGCTGTTACACAGCCAGTTGGAAGTGAAATATTGGTCACCAGTACTTCTGAGATTGCACAATCTGATTCACAATCTGTGCAGCCTACACCACCTGTAACAGATGTTGTGGAGGACCCCAATAATTCAACACAGTCAAATGATTAAACTCAGGGAAGCAACCAGGTTGTCCCTCTTGTCTCTTCAGGTCAGACCACATCACAGACAACAAAAACAACAAAAAACAATACTACTGTGTCAAAATCTGTAAAAACATAAGAATATATCACCATCTGGACATTGAAAAACACTGGTACACACCATTCCAGGCAAAGAGGCCCCATCTAGCAAAAGCTTTGACATCAATTCAACAAGGTCCAAATTCTGGTTGCTGAAATAATTCTGAGATATCAACCAGATCATGACATTGTATTGAAAAGTGGTGAGGATCAAAGAAAGACAATTTCTCCATGAAGCTTGTAATTATTAGTTTTAATTTCTTATTGTGATTGACTGAGACAAGTGATATCTGAGATGTAATTGAAGGAGACACAGTCTGTCTGGTAAAATATCAAATAGCTCATTGACTTTTGATTGCAAGAGAAAGAGGTATAGTTGAAGGATATCTTCTTTATAAAATGGAAACACCAAACTTAATTATTTGCAGTGTGAACAGGAATATGTTGCAGAACTGGTCTGATCAATCATAACAACAAACATCATAGCATGATACAGATCCTCTGTATATCTCTAGATCTCCTGGTATCAGTTCTAGTCAGTATCAGATATTTTTGGGAATGATCATACGTCAGATAAAGGCAAGAATTGATTTTCCCAAAAAGGCAATTTTGTGCAGCAAAAATGTTTGTGGAAGCATACCAAGCAGGTTTCTTGAAGATCACATCATCTTGACTGACAATTGATTAGATGATAATTCACACAGAAAGTTGTATTTAAATTATAATCAACTGTCAAATTACCCCAGTGTGTGGTGGATGACATCAAGAATTAGGAAATTGGCCAAAGACGCCACAGCATCCTACTTCTTCTCCATTAATTGACACCCTGAGAATTCAGGATTGGAATTGTCTATAGGGACTCAGTTCTAACCTGTTGGAAAATGTATTCTAATGTAATGGCTTTGAGCCACATGAGGGTCTTTGCAATCATTGTATGGACTGTTCAAACCAAACATCCTTTTTTGTGTAAAGGTTGAACCTTTGCAAAAGGACATGCATTCAAACCCATACTGCACACTTTCATCTCTGAGTCCAAGTCTACGGGCATGCCATTGGTGTGACTAGTTGAGTAATGGAATACATGAACTTGAAGGTAACTCTAGGGAATGGATCACATAATCTCCAGGATGTTGTGTTGGCAAGAGGTTCAATATAATGAAATGACAGTGAAGAAATTGAGAAAAGTATAGCCAAATACAGACAAAAGAGAAAGAAGCCTCATTCAAAGAGGTCAGCGGCATGATTCTGAACTGGCATATTTCCGTTTCCGTAGGTCTGCTGAGTATGGGAAATTTGAAAATTCATTGTGGACTTCTGTAAAAGGTGCAGGCTTGACTTAGACAAGAGACCAAAAATGAGGTACTCTGGTCGTTGAAGAAGACGGCACCATCAATTGATAGTACACATGCTGACACAATCTTATTGACTTTTTGATCATGGTGGTTTTTTGGGTAGCTGAAATGGGAGCAACTTGTAATGACTGTTGATGTGATAAGACACTCTGGGTAGAATAACAGACAGTCAACCCAGAAGATGATATAAAAGCCCAGATAGAGTGCCTACGGGTCAAGAAACTCATGTGGAGACTGATATGTGTTCCATTATCATGATGATCTAACAGTCATTTCAGGTTCAGTCACATTCACATTAATCAGTGCATAAGGCATAGAGTTGCAAATCTGGCTTGTTCCTATTAGGCTAATTGAAAATGAGTGTCCTTTTTATGCAACATGGTCATTCTCTCTATTGAAAAAGTTCTAGGAATCAGAAAGAAAAATGCCTCAGAAACGAACAGAAAAGAAACAAAATACACAGCACGAGTTGCAAAGGTACACTGTAAAATTGTAAACCAATGAGGTTCAAAACTGGAAAAAGTCCCTTTAAGGAATTAGGAGCCTTGCTGCCTTACTTTGGGAATCACCCACACTACTTTCACAAAACCAAACACATTCAAATGAAAGCCACTGATTGGGACAAACTTTCAAGATTATCAAAAGTGGCCTAGGTACCTGTGTCAATCTCTGAAATACATTACTGATCATGCCTTCATCAGCTACTACAGTTGACCTTATGTATTGTTGTTCTTCTCAAGTTTGATTATGCATTACTGTGAGGCTGCCTGTACCTTTCATACCCACTCTGCCAGTGATAGCACTTTCCAATATATTGTAATGATCATCATCAATGTTACCCACTAGCTTTGCATATTGACAGTGATTTTCAGTAGCATTGGACTTCAAGAGACTGAGCCAGAAATGAGCATATTCCACTCAAAGTCAATTGGATAGGTCAAAATATAGACCATGTTCCAAGAGAACAATTTCAAAGTTATAAGGGCAGCATTGTTGGAGATATATTGTTACACTCATCTGTTTTATTCATTTCACGTTACTTGTCACAGTTGTCTAATAAATATCACAACTTACTAAGTATTATCTCCATTTCTTACACACGAGATTTAAACCTAACCACAATTTGTATCACTGCTTTATATATCTTGATCAGCTTGTTTCAGAAAGCTTCTCTTATTCATTAAGCTTTCTTATTACAAAACTTAACACCTCATCCCTACACTATCATTTCAGCGTTTGCCTATTGATATCATTTAATTTTAGACTGAGTTTGTTTCTTTTGTTTGTTTCTGATCAGGGATTTGATCCCTTAAGCATGAGGCAGCAGACACAGGCCTGATCAACAGACTACCATCATGCTGTACCTTCAAAGATGGAATAAAGGTCAGATGGATTCCCAATGAGTATGACGAGATCCACTATGAAAATGACTAAACTGGATCACTGTGGAAATAGCCATTGAGGTACAACATTTGAGAAAAAAATTGTGTTAGTTCTTGAAAAGCATTGTTGTGATCAATGTTGTGTTCTGCAAGGTTTTTCTTGTTGATTGTTAATCACCATGATATCAAATTCTGAGCATATCATCAAGACCGCTTGACTGATATGTACCCAGAGTTTTGTTGGAAATCTTTGATCACTTCCCTGAGGGTAGGTTGAGATAGAATTTCCAGCCCTCAAAGTTACACTGAGGATTGGCCAAACCATCTGACGGATGACTCTGAAGAGACATCATCAAATTTTGCAACTCCACATGGCACCTCAAGAGCTAAGTGAATTTGGGAAACAATCACCAATGAAACCCACCTCCCCTATCTCGAACTGGCTCATGAAGAATATCAGTAGACGTATGTCTCTGCTATCTCTGAACAATCTGCAGTATACCTTGCCCCGAAAGGCCGCGAGGTTTTACGAGTGACATAACGTCTTGATGATGGTGTGTAGCGCTCAGCTCTGGTGACATTTTCCTGGAATCAACATACTGAACTGGATCGAGTAGATCGAGACCAGCTCTGACCGGCTCATTTTGAGTCAGCCGTCGAACACCAGCAAGGACTCGCTTACCAGGCTTCCATCGGAGCTGTCCGAGGGCCTACGGCATTGCACGGGTTAAACGCGAAATGAAATGACGCAGTTTCGGGTACGGCTGAGTCAGAGTGCACCTTGATCAATAAAACTCCCTGGCGTCTGGGTCATGGAGCGGGAAACCCGCAAGTAAATGACCTTTGTGTATACACGATCCTCAGTATATCAGAGAGAGAGGTCTCGTGTCAAATCTTTCATAGGCCAAATGATCACTTGATGCTATGTTATCACTACACCGCAAGAGGCTGCAAGAGGGCGACTGAGCTCAAAAATGCCAACAGATATTGCCGTTTGATCCAAGGATCGAAAGAAAGCATCACAGACTCACCTCAATGAGGAATTGATCGATATAACGTGTCCAAATGTGGCAAAAGGAAGTTCTCGGACTCGCGTTTTGGTAAATGATAGGAATATCTCAGTGGTAGATACTGGACACCATCAATTCCCCATGCGAATCCTTCGGCCAGGCTTCTTGACAGGGAGTCCAGACCGCAGGGTCGAATTTCCTTCATACATCCTTCATACGTATAAATACTAGCAGATCTCATTCGCACTTTTCATATCATCAAGTTTTCTAATTCCATCTATCCAACTACCTGCCACTCATCTTTTCATCACAATTTTTATCATGAAGATCTCAACCCTCTTTTTCGTCACGCTCGTTGTCCTCGTCGGCCTGCTATCAAATACGTTAGCGGTAACCTGGTCAAAGAGTTAGAGCGTCTATCTTAGACTATACTTGAAACCTTAATATACTTACAGACGCTTTGTTTATCAGATTTTGCCAAAGCAGACATCAACACGTTAAATCCTCTCTTGAATACTATGCAGAGTGACTTTTCAAGCAAGAACTATGCTGGTATCTGGGATTTACTTGGGGACAACGGAACTAAAAAGCTCGTGAACAATGTATTTGGTGGGACGACACAGGTCCGAAGCAAGCAAGGTAAGCCACCAATACCAAATGCTCTAGTTTTTGTTCTACAAAGCTGACTGGAAGGGTATTGTCAGAGTTCATCAACGCCTTTGGCCAATACGAACAATATGGTGAACTGACCTTCACCATTAAATCAGGTGAGCGCTCTCCCGCTTTTTATCCCGTTCTTTTGCATGTCTGCGGAGGCTAACACATTTGACAAACCAATTTAGCCCAGCTCAAGAGCTCTAGCTCTGCTAGCCATTACCGCATGGTCCTGAATGGATCCATCAAATTGAACTTCCCAATTGCAATCGTCTTCAGTGCCGACGTCACTTTTGCCGGAAAGAAACCTCAAGTTGGCAAGGTCTCGGCTGTGACTTTCACCATCAGCACAGCATGATTTTCTCTTCATCGACAGTCTTATTTTAGTTACAGATCTAATGCGCTAAAACGTCGGAATCATGTAGTGTCTGAGTCACTCCAGTTTTGTCGTTCTCCATTGTTATTCGATATTATCTACTTTTGCATCTTTTCTTCGTTTCTTCCAATTTATTTGTTTTTCATTATCAAAATCTTCGTTTTTTTTGCTGTCATGGCTTATATCCGTTTAGACTCATGAATGTCTCGGTCTGATTATCCTGCAATGACCTCAGCAAGCCGCTTCCGGCACGTCTTTATACTTCTACTTGCGAATAATCTCACTTTGATGAAGTGGCTGGAATTTGTGATGATAACATTTATTGTCCTTAGGGAGTCACACACACGAGGCACAATGTGTTGACGGTTAAACCATACCAGTGTATGTCGCACTGTCCAAGCCTGTTTACAGAATCCTCAGGTCATATTTTTGGATTGTGCCTGAACAGTTTGAACAAACAATTGTATCAATGAAGATAGATGTGTCTGAAGTATAACTATTCGTAAGACAAGAAGAATTGAAATACGAAGCACTCATACATCCACTACTATCACCAACGCAGCCACAGTTACTGTACTGGTAAAGTATTGTCAATCTAACTTAACTAAGTCCCTCTGGCCCAGACACTTTTTCCTCACAAGCTCGGTGTCTGGGAGAGGGACTTAGGAATTATCGGCCTTCCCCAGTGTGTCGGCAGGGCCTTGAAAATGAAAGTTTGGCAGAGAGGTTTTTTCAAAACGAAAAAACACCCACTTCCTCTCGATCAACCCCCGTGCTCATTTGAACGGGGGATACTTGTGACCACTGCCTTCAGATCTGTCTATTCAGATTGCTTGTATCTCACTCTGAGCTCTCTCAAAAATGAAAGAAAGAATTTGAAATTTGAAATTTCGTGACTGTACCTTTAAAACGAAATTTAAAAACAATCTGAATAACCCATTCTTATTTCTCTTCCAGGAGGATCAATACTCAATCGATGAACTTCGTTCAAAAACCGAAGTTGTTCATCTGAAGGACCTGCAGATTTTGTTCTCTCCAGAAATTGTGTATTGCACAAACTACAGAAGATGCAAGATTGTAGAAGAGCAGGAACCCAAAAGGCCCTGCTGGTACACCAAAAACAGCCAGTAATTTGCAAGTCCCTCTCCAGGGCACCGAGCTTGCGAAGGTAAGAAAGCCCCTGCGAGAATTGGGACTTGTGTTAAGTTAGATTGTCAATACTAGTACAGTACCTGGATTTTTGGATACTACAAATGAAGGTACTTGATACAGTACCTACAGTACTCTGTACAGTACCTACAATAATGGTATTCAAATAGGACCCTGGAAAGCTCCTGGAGAACAAACCATCCTGAGGGGGTTTTCAGATACCGGTGTTTTGTGAAGTCATGTCACATGGTACCAGAGATGTGACAGGTGCAAAAGATGCGCCTCAACAAGGGCTATCAGATGGTACACATGTCTGACCCTGAACATGACTGGTGGCTTGGGAAATGTGTGATTTGTAACTTTTGCCCCCCCAGACCGACGAAAATCCATACCGGCTCGGGTCGGGTACTTACATATGGATATCTCGGTGATTACACGTGGTACAAAACTGAAAGTATATGTAATCGAGAGCCCTGATCAAGGCGCTTCTCCTACCACCGAGAAATCCATGTTAACCCACCTCTCCTCGGGGCAAATAGTGAAAGTGTGAGGGCCGGGGCCGGAATGGATCGAGGACGGTTTGTTCTCCAGGAGCTTTCCGGGGTCCTATTCAAATCTCGAGAAACCAGTCCAAGAAGTGTCAAGAAGTGACATCTAGAAACTTCTTGGACACCTCCAAGATGTTTCTGGATGTCACCTCTTGACACTTCTCGGAATATTTGAAAGCACCTTTGAGACCTCTATTCCAAGTACCCTTTGCCAGCTTTGCCTCACATCTCAAGATGCCGCGCGTCTCATCCCGACAACAAGTCCTACAAGTTCTGAGAAAGGTATCACACCACCTCCTCGCTTATCCCAAAGACAACATACTTCATCTATCTTCAGCAAAGCATCCCTCAAACACCTCACGATCACTATCAACTCTGCTCCTCCTGCCTCAGTCACTACCAGATCTTCCACTTACGCCAAAAACTCGCTTAACTTTGGGTTTCATTCTGAAAACTAGAAGGACAGGAAGACTTGAAGACTTTGAATCGAAGACCAACGAAGTAGAATTATGGTTGGCGGAAATGGAACGTGTTGAAAGTCAGCGATACCTCACTTCAAGAACCCTCCGCGAACGAGATCATGCCCACAAGCTCTTCAATGGGATTATGAACACTTCCGAGAGCATATTCATGAAATTGGCAAGCTCTCTTTTTTCTTTACAGTCTTTTGAATTGGTTCTAACGACTGCTTTGATGATATAATCAGGCGCGAATGAAAAAAGAAAGCTTTATTACCCTGTTTCGTAAGATTCAAGGTAGCCAAGTATTCAGAAACCATTCCAGCAATTCTCAAGAAAAGGTTGAAGTCCAACTCTTGGTTGCCCTAGCGAATATGGGCCTTTCGGGAAATGGGGGACAAGTTTCACTCATTGGCCGTTTATTAGGTGTTTTGGGTTGGTGCTTGTTTATAAAGCATGTAGTTCGTTTTCTGTAACTGACTTTGGTACCAATTCCAGATGGGAGTGTTGAAA